AATGCCACAGGCCATCCACACCCTGGGCAGGAACAGCCGGTCCCTGCACAGACACAGCCCTCCTTGTGCACACCCACAGCCTGCTTACACCTGCACCTACACCCCTGCACATCCCTCCTGCTCACACCTACACCTACACCTACACCCCTGCACATCCCTCCTGCTCACACCTACACCTACACCTACACCCCTGCAGATCCCTCCTGCTCACACCTACACCTACACCCCTGCACATCCCTCCTGCTCACACCTACACCCCTGCACATCCCTCCTGCTCACACCTACACCTACACCCCTGCACATCCCTCCTGCTCACACCTGCACCTACACCCCTGCATATCTCTCCACCCTGCACACCCCTGCTGCTAACACTCCTGCACTGTCTCAGTTGGGTCCCCTCTGTGTCTGTGTCCCCCACTGCCACGCTGCAGCTTTCCCCCCTTCCTCAGGTGTCAGCCTGAGAGGTGAAATGATGGTTTTACCTTTCTCTTGCCTGCTGGCCTGCGGGTGTCACTGGTCCTGGGCACACCCAGGATGCAGGTACATCCCTTCTTCAGCCCTGTCCAGGGGTCTCCTCAGCAGCCCTGCAGTGGTTACAGTTATTGAACTGTTGTCAGCTCCAGATCATCCTGCAAAACTTGCACATTGCTGCTGCCACTTCCTCTCCTACAGGAACTGGCTGATGCCAAAAAACACCTCAAGTAACCAGCATTCTGTGGTACATAACACCTTTACAGCAGGTTCCCCAGCAAGGGCTGACAAAGTGCAGCAGTGAAGGTGGCAGGCCATCCCCCCGTGGACTTCTCCATGCATGTGGCCAAGGCTGGATGGTGAAGCTCAGTGAAAAGTGACCATGTTGATGGTCAGAAGCAGACCTGGAGCACTACTGGCCTCTCAGGCAAGGCAGGGTGACTACACCTGGCTCCAGCACTGAGCTGGAGAGTCACCTGGTGTTGCCCAAGCCAGGTGGCACCCCAGGACCTCATCACACAGGTCAGGATGGCAAAAAAATATCTATCATGAAACTCGTTGCTGGATTAAGTGGTTAACAGTACAGTCATACCCTTTACTGGGTATGGGCTGGGCAGAGCTGCTGCTTGCACTCAACACTGCTGCTCAAAAAGTACTGAAACACCTACATAGGACCGCCCAAAACATTGACATCTGCCAAAACACATCTATTTTTCAGAAAGAACGGGGCTCTTGTCAAAATTTGCTTTGTGTGTTAGGCAAACAACCCTCTAACACCAAACCTCTGGCAGTCCTCAGGTCGCAGGAGGGCAGAGGACTCTGCTTTTATGTTCCCAACGTGCACGGGCAGCAGGGCTAAGGGAGGAAAACACTTCTAGGGGTGAAGATCAGTGAGCCAAAGAAGGTCAGTGCGCCGGGGAGCAGCGCCGTGATGTTTGCTCCCTCCCGAGCCATGCGGGGAAGCGCCTGCCGGCACAGGCACCAGGCACACCGCAGGACACGGGGGCTGGCCCTCCCCAGGCTGCTGCTGCTGCAAATAATCCAGCAGGACACAGAAAAATTATCCAGAACAAATATTTACAAACCACATCCCAGCGCGCTCGGTAGCTGCGTGCGGAGAAGGGGACGGTTGCACGGCCTTGGCTGCTTTTTCCAGATGCTAAATCGTGTTTAAACGATAGCAACAAAAACGTGTCGGATCTTCCCTGCTGTTCCTCTTCCAGGTTAGGCAACAGCTGTGGTCAGGTCGTTGTGCAGTGGGAGGGAGGTGAGCTGGAGCTGTCAGACTCAGCCCAGAAGGAGGGAGCTCTTGCAAGGCCCCATCTCCCACCACCAAATCCTGCTCCCATGGGTGCCACCAACTCCCACCATGCAAATCCAGACTTCGCAGAGGGCTTTTGGTGCATCCTGACAGGGCATCACTTGTGTTTGACACCTCTCCCATGGCAGTGAGGGTGCACACGGTCTGAGAAAGGCCCAGACCTGCAGAAGAAAGATGCCAGTGCTTTGAGAGCCCAGTCCTGGGCTGCCTGGGAGAAATTTGTCTGTCCCAGTGCATGTGGATGAGGGAAGCTCTCCAGGCCCATTGCATGCAACACTCCAACCCCAAGTCATTCTTGCTCCACCCACCCCTCATTTCCTTCTCCTCTCTTCCAGGCAACACTTAACTTGGTGCTCTCCCTGCTGATGTGGGGCCATTCCTCTGCTTCCCCCAGCAGTACACAAGCCTTCCCACCACCCCAATCCCCTCCACCCACACCCTCATTCATGTGCTGAGACAAATTCCTTCATGGGCTCTTAAAAGATGCTGCTCAGGATGTGCCTCTTTCGTACAGCCAGGCCATCAGTGCCAGTTTACAGTTGAACCTGTGCAGAAAATACACAGCAAGAACACAGCCTTCAATGTTTGTCTCCCCCAGCTCTCCCATGGTACCCCCCTCCCCATTTCACCAGCAGCCAGACTCTCTCTATGGCTTTAGGTGCTGTTCCTGCACTCCAGAGTAGTGAGTTAGTGAGTTTGCCCTCTCCTGAGCTACCCCCATCCCTCCTGCCTGGAATCATCCAATACCTGCTCTGTGCCATGTGTGGGTTTTGTGTCCCCTCTTCCAGCAAAGGGCTTGGGCCATAAATGCATCTCCACTTGGCTAGGCCATGCAGAGCATCTGAGATATCCACCAAGACCTGTGTCCTTTGACACAGCCGGCCTGCTCTGGTGGGGTCCCTTCATCCCAGCTCTTACCCCTCTATCCCTCACCCTCGGGTCAGGACAGCACGAGGACACAGGCTGCTCCAGCACATCATTTCCATTTCTGCCTCCAACATCCTGCATCCTAAGGACCATGGCCATGGGCCCATTTCTTAACATTTCTTCTTCACCTTCCTTCCTCAAAACAACAGCTTAGCTCTCCTCTTTCCTTCATCTCTCCACCTTCTGATTCCCCAGTGCCAAACTTGGAATCCCACAGATCCCTGTCCCCCAGTCCTCCCAGGAGCACATACAGCTTCAGGCTCCCATAGCCTCAGTCTTCCCCCCTGAGATGTCCCCTTTGGTACCCCGGCACCACCGTGTCCATCCACCACAGCCCCCAGATGAGGAACAGGCACCAGCCTGGTCCTTTCTTGCTGTGCAGAGGTGAGGACTGAGTGCTGGACAGGGCTGTCATATCCAGGAGAGCTGCAGGAGGTGAGCAGATCCTTCTGGGAAGGGAGACCAGCAGGGCTGCAAGAGCTACAGGAGGCCTTGGTGCTGGGAAGGACGTGCCAATCCACCAGCTCTGCCCTGGAAGTGGCAGCTGGATAAATAACACAAAAGAACCCCCAGGGCATGCTGCTGTTTCCTCCTGCAAACAACTGCCCTAGGCATGGCAGAGCAGCCCCTGCTGAGAGACGACTCGGGGCACGGGTGTGTGCTTTCATGTCCAGTTTTATTAGTGTTGCATTAGTACCATAAAATAGTTGACGAGGTCGAGCACGTTGCAGTTTGTTCCAAAAAAAAGGCTATTTACATTTAATCTGTCTTCATAAAAAACAACCCTAGAACCCAAACAATACAACAATGAAACAGATGGACAGCTCGGGAATCTACAAAGTGGTAGCGTCCCCTCGCACACCACGGCCAGCACAAGCCTGGTGGCACACAGCCCCACAATTCAGGCAATCCCCACAGCCAGGGCACGTCCACAGCCACTGCCCAGCCAAGGCTCCAGGCAGCAGCTGCCTGCATGTGGCCCCAGAACAGTGCAATTCCTGAAGGAAACCAGCAACCTGCTGCTTCACAAGTTGGCACGTCCCCTTCTGCCCCTAGTCTGTCCCAAAGCACCAGTGATCCTTCCTGCAGGAGCCAGCCCTGCCAGGAACATCTCCAGTGAGAACACCATGCAAGAGGCTGCAGGAAACCTCCAGGAGTTGCTGCTGTTCATTTCTGGCCTTCTCCTGCCAGGTTAAGCCCAGAGGGAGTGTCACACTAAAATGGCAGTACTCAAATATCTGCTGAGATCAAGACCCCCCAGATGAAGGGGACAGATACTGCATCCAACCTAACTTCAGGAAAGCTCCAGGGCCCCAAGCCCTTTACAGCTGCATGGCAGGACTGTCCTAATCCCAGTTTCCCAATCCCTTAACACACCAAGCAGCAGGAAAAGCCCACCAGTTCTGCTGCCTCTTGACATGATTTCCCTCTTAACCTTGGAGATTCCAAGTGCAACATCCTCTGCCCTGACTCTCTCACATGCTGCTGGGGAGAAACACGGCAGGGTCTTTGCTGCAATCACAGGTTAAGCACAGGGCAGTGTGGTTCCTGGCTGAGAGTGGTGATGGAAAGCAAACAGGCACATCTCCTCAGCCCCAGAAACCTCCCAGCCACCTACCCCTGCCCTCTCTGCAGGATAAAGCCACGAGCTTTATCTTGTGTTCTAATTAAAGCAGCAAACACAGCCAAAGAGACCACGGTTCTCCCCAAACTCATGTGTAATTCAGGAGGACTCTGCAGTCACTGCTGTGATGTGAAACAACAACTGAACCGGATGGGAACTGCAGAACTGAGCTACAACAGCCACATAAGATGTCCTTGATGTCACCAGTGCCACCAGAGCCAGCCCTGACTGAGCACTGGCAGGGCTAAGCCCAGCCTTTGTCTCCAGGAAACTCAAGCCAGTGGACCAGGAAGCACTCAAGGTGCAACATGATGCCACAAAACCCTTCCATCTCTCATCTGCTCTCTGGAGCTGCTGAACTAGGTCAGAGCGGAGCCAGCCTGCTCCCCAGAGCTCACCCAGAGCAGCTGGGAAAGAAACTCTGCTCTGAGAAGCCACAGCCAGAGGGGTGGCAGAGACCGGCCCTGTGGGTGAGCTCTGGCACACAGAGGAAGGGACACAGCAGGGGACACCACCTTCAAAGCACCTCCTGCCTGGAGATCCACTCAGGTGCTGCCCAGCCCAGGCCCTGCCTTTGCTGTCAGACCACACAGCTTCAAAGCAAGCTCGACTTGGGAGACAGCCCCCTGAGATTCTTCATTTGAGATGTCCCTTCCCTGCCCAAACTCTCCAGAGCACGGCAGTCTCTGCTCTAAGCCATCCTTCTGCACTCACTGACATGAGCATGACCACCCAACCCAGAGCTGGCACAGCTCTGCAGGCACGGGCTCTCTGCTGTCCCAGGAACTTTTCCTGGTCCCACAGTGAGGATCCCTCAGGTCATGGAGCTCACTCCCAGCACGGTCCCCCCAGAAACTGTTGGGGAAGTTGGGAGACCTAAGGTCAGTCACTCATTCTGACCCAAAACAGTCTGAGCCATGTGCTTTGACACTCATTTTCCTCAGAGACAGAAACCTGTTTCTACTCGACAGGGAAAGAAACAGCTGCACAAAGTGGCTCCACAGGAGAAACAACAGAGGCACAACGACCTGATCAGAACTGTGCCACCAAATTTGCATGCCAGCCCTTGCCTCCAGGGCCAGGAAACACCAGAGCCACCCCTGGGCACAGAGCTGCCCACAGGCAGGCCCAGCCTGCCACTGCTGGACTCCCTCTGGGATAAGAAGGCTGAGAAGTCACGATGTTTTCTTGCACGCATCTCAGAGCAACAACAGCTTTCCACAGGGGAGAAATCAAGCCCTCAGGTGTACAGAGAACACCTGTACAGAGAGTCTCTCAATGAATTTGCTTGTATAAAGTTAGAACAAAACACAAACCAACATGAAATGCAACGAGCAGAAGTGTTTCTCTCACACGTACACACACACACACACGCACAGAGTACAGCAGGGCAACACACATTTGATAGGCAGGACTCTGGAAACCCTGTCCTAGCTACCAGGATTTTTCTTTACAGTAGGTTGAAATATAAAGAGGAGCACAGTGATGGTTCTCCCCTCGCCCCCCAGTAAACAAAGTTATTGCAGCAGCACCACCAGAGCTGCCCAGGCTGCACACAGCTGGAACCCAGCCCATCACCCTTGTCACACCAGTGTGAGACTCACACACTGACTAATCTCCTTTACAAAGCTTTTTTTTTTTGATGCAACAGCCTCGATCAAGATGTGATGTGCTTACACACCCTCTCCCACGCTGCTGCTGCTGCTAGGCAACGCTATACAGCCCCAGAGCATCAGCTCAGGTCACCCAAAAACATCAGCTGAGGGACACAACTACACCCCACTACAGCCCAGCTTCTGCCACAGCCAGGAGCCAGCACAGGGCAGGCAGGAAGAACAAATATTGCAGCCAGACAGTGTGTCCTGCCCAGCAGCTGCCACCAGGCTGGGACACTGCCCTTCTCCCCTGCATGGTTTGAAGGGAATAGCCAGGCCCTGGCCATGTAGGTTGCCCTTGTGCTGGGAAAGGGTTTCACAACATCAGCTGGTGAAGCAGCCCAAGCTGATGGCACAAGATCCAGCTCTGACCTCAGAACCTCCCTGCCAGCAGAGCACACCACCAGTACCTGCCCAACAGAACCTGAGTTCTGAGCAGGTTCCTCAAGCCTTTAAAAACCCAAGGGTAAGGGATCAGGTAAAAAGGGACAAAAGAAAAAAAAAAAGAAAAAAAAGAAAAAAAGCATCACTGCCCTCAGAAAGTGCCTCACAGAGCCTGGCCTGCCCACAAGGTGGGGACCCAAAAGGGCCCATCAGAAATTTCGGTCCCTTACCCTGATAGGGCAGAGGGGTCTGTTTTTCCACATGACAACAACACCCTGCTCCCCAAATCCCACCCAGCACCTGACAGAGCAGCCCGTGCCACCTCAGGTGAGCAGTGTGACACGGGGGCAGGAAGGCAGCTGGACACACAGTGCCTGGCTGGCTCCCAGTCCAGCCACTGCAGTGATGCATCATCACTCCACAGAACAACGGCTCATCTTCCTGGGTTTGTGGGGTTTTTTTTTGGCAAATTAATATTTTTCCTGTTATTTATTGTTTTTATTTTATTTTTATTTGTTTTTTTTTAGAAAGCATTAAAAAAAAATTCTGCAGCTGTTAAAAAAAATCCTTTCCCTTTGGAGGCTGGACGAGGTTTTATTGACAGGTAAATAATCGGTGTGAGTATGTAAATAGCAGCGACCCCACTGACGTGGTGCCCCTCAGCAGCACAGCCAGCTGGGGAACACAGAGACTGGCTTGGTTTGGTCATTATCAAAGACCTGGGACATGGGAGTTTCCTTATTAGTGTTTCCCTAATTCCTGTTCCTGCCCAACCCTCCTCAGGGTTCAGCACCAACACCTGCCTGTCCCCGCAGCAGGCTCCGTGCTCCGAACGGCATCTCCTCTCCACACCTCCTTAACTCTGCAAGTGCCTTGCTTTCCACAGCAGCCAGCTGAACTCCCTCCAGACTCGCTGCTCTCTCATCCTTTGGCAGCAGGAAGAAGGACTGGCCATCCTTTTCTCCTAGAAACACCGAGCGGGGGCCCAGGCAGCGAAACGCACGAGATCTTCTGCAAATCTGAGCTGATCCACGGCTCCCCCAGCCCACTCACACCAATGAGGTCTCAGGTTAATAAGCAGTGCAGTTACTCAGCTATCTGCTCCTAAGTGGTAGGTGTTCTTGGGCAGGTTGCCTGCTCCTGCCAACTCCCCCACGACTTCACGTTGTCAGCACATCTATATTTAAGACTGGTTTGTTGGTTTGTTGCTTTTTTTTTTTTTTTGCCTTTGTTTAAAGGGGTTTCCTTCCTTTGTAGTAAACTTAAAGAGTTAATAGAAAAAAAGTAATTCAAAAGTAATCCAAGCACATCTGTGATTAATTCTGCAGGAGAGGGCAGAGCGAGGCGAGTCAGAGTTGGCACGCAGTTCCTGGCTCCTGGTGTGCAGTCCTCGGGATGGGCAGAAGGTCCCTGCGCCCAGCACAGCTAGAAGTTAGATTTGGAGTGTCCAAAGATGCAGATGGGAAAGTGCTTGACATGAGAGGACCACTGTGCTGCCAGCTGAAAGAACTTGACGTCGTTCCACTCCACCCCATCGATCAGGACTGCAGGGCAGGGTAAAAAGAGAGGAGAGTTAGAAAATACTGAGGGGAGGAGACCAGCCCGAGGCAGCTGTGCCAGGAGTCCCCCTGCAGTCGGCAGAGCTCGGCTGCTCTGCCCCAGCCGGCTGCACACACGGGGGGAAGGCTCAGGAGCACACAGGTGAGGGGAGAACAGCTCAGGTTGTTGCTCCAGCATCATTCACTGACACCAGCGCCCCCCACACCGCTGATTTCAGTGTCACCTGATCCGGCCTCTCAGCTTTCCTGAGCACGCTGCATTTTCTCTTTTGGGCAAATGCACTCTTACAGAGATGGACAGCAGTCTCTCCTCACTGGCACTCTCACCAGGACATCCACGTCCCCCACACAGGTGACACATGTCCTGTGTGCACCCCTCATGCCAGCCAGTGTCACAGGGACCGGGCCAGGATTAAGGAGGTGACCCAAGCAGGTTCCTCTGTTGGGGATTGCTAACTGAACAGGCCACAAGGGTATTTTTGCTCCTGGATGCCCAGCTCCACTGCCAGACACTCCAGGTCTGTCTATAAGATGCATGTATGGCTCCTGCTGTGCCATGAGCATGTGCCAGTGTCCTGCCCAGAGGAGCAGCCACAATGTCACCCCCTTCACCAACCAACACTTGCACCTGATGTGCAAGAGAAACAGAAGATGACAGAGAGGGGAATGGAGCCCTGTCCAACCCTTGTCCTCATCCAGAGCACTTACTCAGAGCTAGCTGAAGGAGGATTTTCCCACATCCCAGACCCATTAGAGCATTCCCCCATGCTGGCCACACCGAAGCCCATTCCCCAGGTATACCCCGTCCAGGGCACAGGGCAGGACAGCAGCTCAGCCCCTTGCCTGGAGGACAATCACAGCATGTGAGCCTTGCCCCAGCAGCCAGAGGGATGATGCAAGCACTGCACTCACCACGCAGCATGTTCTGCTGATGTTTCGCTGTGCAAATCAACCTGCTGATTCCTTCAATACACTGGCTCTTGGACTCAACCTCCTTGTCCTTTGTTTTCTTGGGCAAAAACATCACTGGAAGAAAAGCAAACCAGCACAAGGTGAATCTATGCCACTCACAGGAGCTGCACCAAATCCTGTTTGAGTTTTTGCATTCAAACACTCATGTCTGAAAAGTCTTACTCCTAAGATCCTCCCTTTTTGGTAGGAGTCCCTGAGTGCTGAGCACAATCACTGATGCACATGAGCATCTTATCCCCAAATGTCTCTATGTCTTCCCAGCTCATAATCCTGACCCCAGAGGGCACCTTCAGGTAGCTCCTGCTTTGTTGGGACACCATGGAAAACATCTGCATGTGCAGTGCCAGGCCTGCTGCACAATCTGTGGCCCAACACTGCCTGGGCTGCACAGACACCTGGAGAGCAGGAGGGGTTACAAAATGGGGGCAGCTGGTGGGTAGGGAAGGCATAAGAAGAATTTAAAAAAGGGTCCAGTTCCCCAGGAACTGCCCAAATGCATGAGCAAAGATGTACAGAGTGGCTTTACAAAAGCTGGTGGTGTTGAACACCTCTGCTGCAGGCTGGGCTGCCCCCAGGAAAGAACACTTGGAGTGTCTCAGCATTAAGTCTCCCAACAGCATCTTAAGAGTGTCACCAGGGGTGACAGCTCCACTACCAGCAGGGCCACAGCTGTGCTGGCCTGGCTGCAGGGTTATGCACCCAGGTGCTGCAGTCCAGGAGGCTCTGCCAGCCTTCTCTCAGAGCCCACCAGCAGTGACTCCCAGGCCCACAGGCACAGGATGCTGTGAAGGACAACCACTGGCAGCCAAAATGTAAATGCAGAACTGCCTTGCTGCTTCCTTGAAAATAATTTGTTGCAGAGCTGTTCCCAATTTCTAAAATGTTTCACGTTACCAAGGCCAGGAGCAAATACAAAATCACTGACAACATTCAAAATGCCATTTTGTTAGTTTGCTTTGAGAAAATAAAGCCACAAGTTTAAGAACAGGAAAGTATTTATCTTCTATTTCCTTTTGACCCACAAAGCATTCTGAACAAAAGCATAAGAATTATAAAATCTGGAAAAGATCTCCAGGGTCATTGAACTGAACTGCCAATCTAACACTGCCAACTGCATCACTAAACCGTGTCCCCAAGTGCCACACCTATACATCTTTTAAATACCTCCAAGCATGTAAGGATGTGGCTTTGCCACTGCCCTTGGCAGCCCCTTTTTAGGGCTTCACGGCCCTTTTGATAAAGAAATTTTTCCTAATAGTTAATCAAAGTCTCCCCTGGCAAACCTTGAGGCTACTTCCCCATGTCCTGTCCCTCATTATCTGGGAGAAGAGACTGACTCACCTTGCTCCAATCTCCTTTCAGGTAGTGGTAGAGAGTGATAAGGGCACCCTGAGCCTCCTTTTCTGTGGGCTCAACACTCCCAGCTCCCTCAGCTGCTCCTGCCAGGACTTGGCTTCAGGTTCTGAATCCCCCCAGGTGCAGCAGGAGAGTGGGAGGCCCCAGACTCCAGTTCAGGGGGTACTCCTGCTTTGTCACCTCACAGGGATCTGTGATACTTGCTGAGCTTTTGTTTTCCATGACATGCCTTTTTTATTCTCTGTGGCTCTTTCCTGCTAAATGCTCATAGGATGGGGATATCATCCCAGGAAGCAGAGCTATCCCAAGTTTCCAGCACACTGCCAGAAAGGGGGGTGGGGGTTTAGCCCCCTTTTACCCTCCCTGGTGGTTGGGGCACAAGCTGCCTCTTATCTAATCCAATATCCCAAAACAGCACCAGCAGGCTCCCAAGGAGCACAGGGAAATGTCCAGGCATGGCCTCCTGCATGTCCTAGCCCTGTCCTCACCTTTTTCCTTTTAGGCCACACCATCTCAGCTGTTCAGGGTGAACACATCCCCTTTTCACCTCACACAGAGGAACCACCCTTTCAAACCCTACCACTTTACACCCCTCATCAACTGACTAGGATTTGGGGGATAAAAACAGGACTGAGGTGCTGTAATCCAGCATGACAAGCCAGGCAGCTCTGGAGCAGCAGGACAGGGACAGGAGGACACCTCACCTTTCTTGTTCTTCTCTTTTGTCACGACAGTCATGGACATGGTTGGCGTGGTGGCGATCTCGCCGCTGGCCGGTAGCCTGCTGACCTGCAGGGACCGGAAAGTGCATTTCAGGGTGTTTTTGGTACTGGAGGGGTCCTTCTTCTCCGGGTCCCTCTTCCTGTCCACTGGGGGAGCTGCAATCCAGTAATCCACCTGCAGGCCCATCAACTCAGCACCGAGGCCCTGGCTGGGGAACAAGAGCAGGAGGTCATTTCTGCACGGCTCTCAGCAGGGCTTGGTCAGAGGACAAACAGCTGGCTCTTTGGGCAATCAGGCAGTGACATCTCAGCAATTACAGGAGCTCAAGAAGTCACCCCTGAGAGATGCAGCCTGGGTCCCACTGCACACAACCTCAGTGACCCAAGACAAGCTGGCCTGCTGCAGTCACAGCAGCAAAGGGAGCACACAAGCAGTTTCTTCACATGATGCAGAGTTCTGTGACACAGCAGCAAAGGCAGCTTCTGAGGTGGCCCAGATTAATTCATCTTTGAGTGGGGAAAAGAGCCTGTAAGCACCTTGCTGTTGCCTCCTGAGCACTGATGAGTGACTCTGTCCAGGCACAGCACTGCCAAAACCAACTCTCAGGCAGGGTGAACAAAGACTTGGCAGGTCCCTGAACATCAGGCACTCAGTTCCCAGTCTCCCTGCACTGCTTTTTGCCATTGCCTACCCTCAAGCCTGGCCACTTGCTGGGGAATTCCATTGTTGGGAAAAAAATGTTCTGCCAGCCCTGTGAGGTTTGCTAGACAACAGCAGATTTCAGGATATGCTCTGTTGTTGAGAACTCCTGTGCATCATGTGGTAGCAGCCACACCAAAACATGCTGCCAGCCCTTTCAAGGTAAAATGAGCAGCCTGGGAAGCTCCAGCCCTTTCCTGCTCCTGCCTCTCACTGCCAGCCCTGAGGGGAGCAGGGCTTCATCATTCAGCAGACCTACAAGTGACATCCTGTACTTCCATCCTACACAGTGACAATCAGCATTGAATAATACACAACTACTAGACAAAAGCCTAAATTTATCTACCAGTCTGTGTCCCCAGTTTGAGAAATGGCAGTTGTTAAGGAAGATAAATCTGTGATCCTGAATGAAATATGCATCCCTCTGCACCACCTGTCTAGGAAGAAACTCAAGGTAAAACAAGGATGTCCCACCATTACAGTCCTCTCAGCAAATCATTTCCTTCTCTTTTATTCAGCTAAAAGTCAGACTGCAAATCAGAGTTCATCTTTGATGACTTTTGGTTCTCAGGGCAATATCCAGAAGTGAGATTATTTAAGGATGATGCTGCTTTGAGTTTTAAGGCTCCTTTGTATCACGTTTCTCAACTCAGTCATAAAGCAGCCTAATATTCACTAGACCCAGGCAAGATTTTATGTTCCATTCCCAGTTGAACACGTGGTGGAATCACTCAGTTTGGGTCACCCTCCACACTCTGTGCTGTCACTTGCAGATTAGAGGAGATGGAACAATGCTGAACTTACACTTCCTCATTTCCTGATGAGTTTACCACACAGCATGAAACCAAAAAGTACCAGATTCCTAGAGCTGGGGTGTCAGCTTCAGATTTATCACATCCATGGCTCACAGCTTTAACACCCTGCACTTTTGGGGGGCACCAGTTCCCAAACCACTTCCACCTTGGAAAGCCCATAGACAAAGCTCACACAAGGATTCAGCTCTGCTCCCAGAGCCTGCCCAGCTCTCTGCACTGCCAGCCAGCTGCCTCTGGGGCACACAGGGCTCTGCTGCCACCAAACCACAGGACACACCAGGAGGAACTGGGCCCCTGGCACAGGTCAGTGGGCACTGACACGTCCCAGTGCTGGGCACCTCAACTGGCACCTTCACATCCCCATTTAAAAGGGAACTCTTAGGACACTTTAGGAAGTCAGAGGTGAAAGGTCCCTGCAGGGCACTCTGGGGTGGGATGAAAGGTTCCCATTCTGTCTCCAACAGGGACAGCAGGGGATGCTGCTTAGGGAGAGCACGTGAGCCCAGCCTCAGAGCTTGCCCTGGCACTTCCCCAGCCTGACAACCACAGGATGAGGGAGGCTAGAGGGGACATCCTTTGGTAGCCATTAATGGATCTGCTGCTGTGCATTTGTCTGACCCCTCTTTGATCTGCTGATGCTGCCACAGAAGCAGCAGAGGCAGACATGGTCCCTTCCTTTCCCCCTTTTAACTGAGCTCTTGCAGTGCCACTGTGTGCTCCCATCTCTTGTGCCACAGGCTTCAGAGAACCCCAGAACTGCTGGGGTTGGAAGAGACCCCTAGAGATGATCCAGTCCAAGCCCCCTGCCAAGGCAGGGTCACCTGAAACAGGTGATGCAGGGAGGCATCCAGGTGGGTTTAGGATGTCTCCAGAAAGAGACCCCACAACCTCCCTGTGTACCTGTCCCAGTGCTCTCTACAAACCCAAAATCCCCTGACTTTGCACAGCTTGAGTGGCTCATTGCTTTCCTCTCTTCTCCTAACCTGCAGAGTCCAAATGCTTCTGGTATCCCCTTCTCACAAGGCTGCTGCTATGCTCCCTCAGAGGTTCAGGGGACTTAACAGAATCAAGGGGAACTTCACCAAGTGCCACTGAGCACTAGAAGTGCACACAAAGTGTTAGACAACTGCACCAAGGCTTGTGCAGCAACAAAATGAGGAGTCCTGGCCATGGCAAGTCTTACTGGCAGCTTCCTAAGGGTTTCCTCCCTTCACCCCTAAAAATTTCAGCTAAACCAGGACTCAGTACTTCCTATAGGTGCAGTCCCCTTGCTGTTCAGGTGTCCTTTCAGGCACACACAGGAATGGGAGCTGCAGTTCCACCTTACAGCTGCCAGCATTACCCTCACAGAGAAAGTCATCAGAAGTCACTCTGACCTTGCACTCACTTGGCCATGACAAACACAAAAATCATGAGGGATTAGCCTGGCCCCCACGTGTCCTAAGAGTCAGTGATTTTTTCTGAATACATAGAGAGAGAGAATACCAAGAGAATCCTGCCCTTGACACATGCAGCCTTCCTACCAAGTGCAAAATCCCCCCTGCCCTCCCCAGCCTCAGCAAGGACACAGCCACTCCAGAGGCAGAAGAGGTGAAGGGGAAAGGTGACAGCCCCAAATGTTTGCTAGGGATGAAGGAAGAACTACAGATCTTCCCCAGGAGGAGTTCTGTGCCACGTGTGTGCCAGATAAGCCAGCCAGTGGAGACAAAACATGGTTTTACCTTGGGGAGGAGAAGCTGCCTGTAACAGATGGTGAGGAAGGGGGCGTGGGGGAGGCTTCTTTCACAGCAGGAGACACGGAGGGTGGGGTGGAAGAAAGGACAACGGAGCTGGAGGGAGCTGCATCGTCAGAGTCACCTGAAAAAGAGGAAATCAAACTGTTTGTCTGGGTTTGTCTCACAGCACAGAATAAAGCACTAGGGTAAAGCTCAATCTCCTTGTCCACCCTCCTGCTGCACAGGTTTTGTTCAGACTTGATCCAGAGGTCAGCTGGCCCCACTGATCTCCTACAGGGAATCTCCTCCTGCACCCACTCTTGGAACCCAGCACCTCTGAGGAACCACAGGGCTCTCCCCACTCCATCTGCCTCCACAACCAACGCTTCATCCCCTTCATTTGGCCCTTTAGGATGGTGGGAGCACTGTGGCAGCACAGAAGGGCTGTCTCCATGCACAAACCTGTGTGTAACCCAGGTAAAACCCTTCAAACCTGTGTGTAACCCAAGCCACAAGAATCTGGGCTTGACACTGAAGCAGCACAAGAAACAACCCCAACACAAGGAAAACGATATTCCTGTGCATATGAAGGAGGAAAAAAAATAAGTTCACTTTGACAAAATAGCACCACCCCATGTCTGTATGTAAGCAGGCAGTATCCTCCTGTATATCAGCTTTGCACTCCTCCAGTAAAAAATAAATGGGTCTAAAATTTTGCCCACCCTGAAGTTCCCAGGCACTGAGATCAATTTCATTCAGGCCACTACAGGGGGAAAGGCATGAACTCGTGATGAACTGTCTGCTCAGGCTGAAGCAGGAACCTCAAACAACTGTACCACAGAATCCACCCCACCAACAACGTTAGAAAAATGGAGTTTGGACAAACGTGAGAGCAGAGCTTTCCTGGATGAAGGGGTGGGAATTTCACCTGGTCTGAAGCTCGATGTAAAATACCAAGAAAAAAGGCCTGTCCCAAGAGAGAGGGCTCTCTTTCAGAGAAAGGCAGATTAATCACTGGGAGCTAATAAAATCCAACGCCACCTGACAGAGCTCCAAGGCACCAGCAATGGATTGCTCAGCCTGTGCAGTCAGGCTCCCACCTGCTGTAGGACACAAAACACACACAGGATGTTCCTTACCTGATGTTGCAGAAGATTGTTCCACTATTCCAACCTTCACCACCTAAAGGGCACAAAACAGAAGAGCTCTGTCAAACAAGAGCCCCTTGAACTTCAGAAGCCCAAACCCCAGCATGAGCTCATCTCTGCACTCTCCATGGCACTGGCCCTGCAGTCAGAGTGGTTCAGGAGTCCTCCCAGAGCCAGGCAGGTCCTGGCAGTGTCCAGCCAAGCAGTGCCAGCTCACAGCCCTTCCCTGACCCACCCAAAGGACAGCACAGCCCCTGCAGAGCTGTCACAGACCTGCACAGCCCAGCAGCTCCAAGCTATGGCAACTGCAGGGACAGGAAAGGGTCAGAAACATCCCTAATTACAGACACGCTGCTCCCAGTGCTCAGGAGCAGCCACTTCCAGCTGGGGTTTGGTAGGAAACCACAGAAGCAACAGAGAACAGTTTCTGATCAGAATTATCTATTCTCTAACCAAGAGAAGTGTCCAGCAAAGAAGATAAAGCCCCTTCCAAAGCCTCTGGAGGCAGACAGGGACAAACCACCACATGGAGAGGTCAGAATGATGCAGGCCATGCTGGAATAAAGGCACAAATGTGTGTGGCCAATCAGCAGCTGGAACATTCAGATTAATGAGAAATGTCACTGGCAGTAACCCGTGGAACAGAACATGCTGCAAACAAACTCCCAAGAACACATTATGCCTGGAAAGATAAACTGGCCCTTGGTGATATGGAAGCAGAGACTTTCTGCAGTGATAATTTGCTATGGTACACAGGGATCATCACTCTCAACACTGCAGGGAAGAGCCTTTTTCAGGCTCTTAAGAAATTTGTATCCAGGGCTAATGCCTACCCTACACAAATGCTGACAAATGGGAAAGGGCTGCAGGTCAATAAAACCTGCTTTGGGATGAGAAATGATGTCACACAAACTGTGTGGGTTGAAAACAGAAGGTCATTCAGTTCAGACACGACCATGTCTGGACCACATCTCTAGGGAGCACATTTCTCTAATATGGGATCCCCCCAAAAAAATAAAAAAACAGTTAATCATTAGAAGCAAAGCACTTTGCAGAGTTTGGAGGGCAGGGAGAGGCATGCTCAACAGTAGATTTTGGGGAGTTCTCAGGCTCTCTGGTGGAGTCTCATTTAGATCCATTCCTGAAAAAGTCATCATGAATCCAGCAGTGTGTACACAGGCTCCCTGAGGGCTCACTGCCTTGGGAGGTGGAGGCTGCAGCTCAGCTTGGCCACTCTCCACCCAAAGGGCAACAAATCAGGCTCTGGAGTGCAGCAGCCACTTGTGCTGCATGTGTTAAACACCAAGAGGATGCTCCACAGACTGTCACTGTGAACAAGAGGAGCAGAGTCAGGGGAAGGACAAGCAAATACACAGAAAGCTGCCTGCAGCCACCCTGATCTGCAGGCCAGGCAGGAAATCTCTTGTGGCCTTTTCCTCCTTGTTGGCTGACTGAAGATGCTCAAGTTCGGACACATGGGAGGAACACAAGCTTAAACACTTGCCCTTCCCTCTACTCAGGGAGGCTCCACCAGGTCTCCATCCCGGGAAGTTGCAGCAGCCAGCCCCCTTTCCCTCCAGGAAGAGGCACATCCTGTCAATTCTCCTGGCAACTGCCTGTCAGCCCAAGGCAGCCTGAGCCTGGCTTCTGTGCCCCTCTGGCCCCTCCAAAGGCTCCACTCCCACCATTCTGAGCCCAGCTGAGCAGCACAGCACTGCCCTGCCCATTTCTGGGTCAGAGACTGCAGGACACCAGGTTTTGCACCCCAAAAAGCCAAGAGTGCAGCCAACATCAGGAATGCAAACCCAGAAGTCATTGGCTCTCTCTCTTCCTTGTCCAACAGCTCTGAGCAGGCTGCAGCTGAGGGAAAGAGCCTCAGTGCTCATACCCAGCCTCAGACTTTGTGAGACACCTGCAATTGGCCTTTCAGGCTCCTCATTACTGTGTCAGGAATGCTACAGAATCAGGAGCAAGCAGCACTGACTGGACCCCCATCACCAGTGACACAGGAAGGCAGTCTGTGCTTTCAAGGCAATGTTTTGTACACAACAAAGCAATTCCACCACTTGCAGATAATCAGACTGGAAAAGCAGTGCTAATGTCAGGACAACAATCACTTTAGAGCAACTTAATAAACACTCTGAGCCCCATTTGCTTGCACAAAATGCAGGGCTAAATCAGTCCTGGAAAAAAGCTTGCAGAGCCCAACAGCAGTCTGGGAAGTTCCAAGTCCTCTAGGCTTTTCATGTTACTGAGGAAGGTGAAACAGCTGTTTTGTAGGAAGAGTCCATCACTCGAAACTGCAGTTCACAGGAGATAGAAGCTCCCAGCAAAGCTCATCAGCAGGGAACAAATTGGGTGGATGTGTCTCTCTGCTTTTGGAGAAGGCAAAATCTCTCCTTCAACAAACAAAAGTAGATTGCCATCTCAGGAATACTGCAGAGAGAGACTCTCACTCTGAGGAGACAGCAGAGTGAAAGCAGGGTCAGCCTGAGGCCGAGAGGGACTAAGCTCTTTAAATGCCTTGGGATTTCAGAGAGCTCTGACGCACCGAGGGACACGGAGGGGACAGGAGGGGACAGCACGTGTCAGCTCACACAGAGCAGGCACAGCAAGGCCAGCGTGCAAACAGCAGCACAAACTGGGAATGCAGGATGTCCAGGAGCTGAAGAGCAGCCAAGGGATTTCTCCTGGCTGCAGGTCAATGGCTTTACACCTAAAACTGAATGAGTTGAAGAGCATCAAATAAATATAAATCAAATAAAGGGAGGGAAGCTAGGAAAGGCAAAGAGCACAGTGCACAAAACACACTGCCAGAAGAACAAGCATGGCCCTGTCCAGACACTCTGCACTTGGCACCTCAGATGGGAACAGGACAGGAGGAAGAACGAGGGACTATCCCAAATACAGAACAGTGGTATAAATCACCTCCCTGCCAGGATGTACTCTCCATTTCCCAGGAAGAGATGGGATGCTAAGAGGATGGGAGACCATCAGTGACAAGCATGCAGAGCAGTGACACTGGAAGAGCAAATTTGGCCAGAACAATCAACCAGGGCAATGCTGGGCACAGCATCCCTACCATCAGCTTTCCAGGGACACATCACGTTGCTGTCTGAGAAGCAAAAGACACCCTGCAGTTTGCTGAAGTGTCTTGGAGCTTTGCTTACATATCAGGCATCAGATTGTCATGCTGGTAATCTGCCTTAGAGCACTTCTGCTCTGCTCCAGGGACCTGGCAGGTTTAGGTTAACACCTGGGAACATATTCCAGCTTGCTTGAGACAGCACAACCAGGACAACACTCACCCCGACGAAGGGAATGAACTTCTGTGAAGATTCTTCATCGGGGCTAAAGGCAAAGAGAAGAGAGTTGTTAGCAGCTGCCCTCAGCCCTGGCACCATAGTCACTGCAGAGGTGGCATTCCAGCATGCAGCAGGGATGGACAGGATGCAAGCACCAGTCCAAGGCTCCTCTGGCAGCACCAGGAGCCTGCAGGGGCAGGGATGTCCAGGGGGAAAGGCTCTTCCTCCCTCCCTCAGGCTGCACAGAGAAACATGCTCGGATGGCAGGGCAGGCAGCACAGACACACGGCCCCTGGGGCCAGACAGGGATCTGTGCCACCACGACACGGAGCAAAGGCTGGTACTTACTGCAGCCCGGGGTGCTCTGCATGGGCAGCCTCCCCGGGAGCCACTGCCACGGCCTGCACGTCCCCAGAGCAGTGGCCCTGCCCAGGGGACAACTGTGACACGTGGTTACTGCGGGGGCAAGGCAGGGACAACACTCACACCCATCATAACCCAATCACAAAATATCACACACCATCACACCCACAATCATCCACTGACACAACATCAAACACCAGCACAGCCTCTCTCACACTCACTCAGGCACACTCACACTCACTCAGGCACACTCACACTCACTCAGGCACACTCACACTCACTCAGGCACACTCACACTCACTCAGGCACACTCCCTGCTGCTGGCAGCTGCCACCCCGTGAGATCTCAGGCACCCCCAGCTGAACCAGGATGACAACAGGCACACCTTGTCCCCAAAACGGCTGGGGACAGCAGCACACAAAGATCTGGACACCCCTCTGCTCTGGGCAAGCAAGGGCTGAGAAAGGCCAGCAGCCAGGGCCAGTCACACCTAGCAGGAGTTAGGGGGAGACTCAGCAAAGACAGGAGGAGGAGGAGGAGATGAGTGAGGAGGAAGGCAGGCCATGAAGAGCCATTGCTCCCTACAGTGGCCACAGAGAGCAGAGACAGACCCACAGGAGCACATCCACATGTCTGGAGGAGCTACAGCTCAGCAGAGGGAAGGCGAGACACACATTTCTCAGTGGCTGAGCACAGGAAACAGGTAGGAAGCAGACAAACACAGAGACTTCTCATGTTTCTCTTCCTGTGCATCCCCCAGTGCTCAGAAAAACCCATCCAGCATTGCTTTAGTCCAGAACTTAGCTGGGAGTAGCATAAACACTGCAGGTATTTCTGTGCTGTTTCCAGCAGGGATCAGAAATGCACCAAATGCACAAAGGTTGTAAATCTGTGTGATCAGCACAGGTTGGACACATTCCTCTGGGCCTCAAGGAAAGAATGACATAAAAGTGCAGCGAGCATGAGTCAGCCAGAGCTCCCTCGTGGTCCAAAGCAGAACAGGATTTTGATTTTGCAAACAGCTCCTCTTGCTTTGGCTCAGCTCTGCTTATCCATCCTTAAGGCATCAATTTGCTCCCTTCCCACCTCCCACCCTACTGCCCCTACCCTCCTCTCTTGCTCTCCTGAAGCTCAGGACAAAGTGAGCAGGTCCCTAAATCCGTGCTGGAAGGCAGAGAGGTCCCATCTTTGCCCACACATCTCCAACAAACACGACATTTCCAGCCCCAGGTTTGCAAAGGGGAAGGAGGAATCCGCAGAGCTGTTGGGAGAGGCACAGAACACAGGCTCAGCTCTCTTCTCTTTCCTTTAGCTCCACGGGCTTGGAGGCAGGCAGAAACTGAGTCCCACTCACAAGAGCCACCCAGTCATGTCTCAGCTGCTGGATGGCTTTGCTCTGAGCTCTGAAAAAACAAACCATGCCCAGTTCCAGCAGAAAACTCATTCTCCTTCCCCCTGGGAGCTCTGATTCCCACTGCAGAGAGCTCAGGGGCAATTTTGAAATACAGTTTGCTCCAGCCACCATTTATCAGAGCTCACAATGATGCACAGGCTGTTCCTGAAGCAATCCAGCTGGATTTCAGCTCTGTTAGCCTCTGTTAGTCCTTGGGAACTCTGCTCTTGCACATTAGTCTCTAGAAATGCAGCTTATCAAAACAGCTGCTCTTCCTGTGGATGAGAGGAAAGATGAGATGGCCATGCTTGTTCTTCATTTCCTCCTTCATGCTCTTTCCAATTTTTGTCCTTCAGGATCTTGAGATCCCAAAACGTTAATTCAGAATCCTTTCACCTTGATAACAGCTGCTTTGATCCCTCCTCCAGCCCTGCAGCTAAAGCATCTCCCATCTCTGGAGGGGCAGCTTCCCCTCATTCCCTCAGCTGCAGAGATTCCCAGGCTGCAGAGGGTTAACCCCACATGTCCAAGGCCCTGGTACCTAGCTGTAATTTAATTTTTTTTTTTTTTTTACCCACAGGGCTTCTGAAGGCCCTGGTACCTCAGCTGTAATTTAAAACCAGACCTAGCCCAAGTTTGTGATTTTTAGCAGTTACTGATGTGTCACCTTTAGTCCAGTCCAGTCCTGAAGGAGGCAACAGAAGAGAGAGGACTTTGATCACTGATGGACTAGCAGGACTCTGGGACATTTCAGGCCAGGCACCACCAACTCTTCACTCATCTGTGACATGAAATCTGTCCTGCCCACTGGGCAACTCCAGCTGTCTGCTGGATAACACTGACCTGCTCCCACCAGGGTCAAACCAAACAAGGAACCTCACGACACATCAGATGAGCCTCCTCTCACCCTTCCCAAAAACCTCCTTTCCAGCACTCTTCACTTTCCTGTGGTGGGCTGGACACAGTCAACAGGACATCCATCATTGCTTGAGCCTCCACTCTTCCCTGCTGCACTCCTGTTGAATTTCCAGCAGGTGCCCAAGGAGTTTCCTGCAGTAACCAGGCAGATCACACGAGCTCTGCTGAGCCACAGGAGGGTCCAGGCCTCTCTTTGCCATATTCACGTCCAGCAGCTGCTGCAGGGTGTGCTTGAGGAGAAGCACTCAGAGCAGTGACCTGGACTCTGTTCAGCCACTGCTCTGAGACACACAGCAGGCAGGATCTGTGTACCCCGTGTTTCCTACTGCCCAAGAACCTTCCAGCCCAAGGGAACTGGGAGCAAGAGCTGGGAAGTGCTCTCAAAACACATAACCAGGCAGTGATCCAGCCCTTGCCCTGACAAGTGAGCAATGCTTCCATTTCCAACAGCCAGGCTGCTCCCCAGATCCATGCAAGGGCTGTCCAGAAGCCACATGGCATGAGCTGTGCTGGGCACTGAATTACAGTGGGTGACACCAGCCCAGAACTGAGCAGCACTGGGAATGAGGGAGTGCTGAATCTCACACCTCAAATACCACAGGGTTTCTTCCAAGAAAGCAATGCAGAGAGACATCAGTGACATCCCCTCCTGGAGACAGGCCCACCCCCTCCCCACAGTCTCAGCTGCCCAGGTGTTGCCTGGATTGCACTGTTCCTTCAGAATTCAGTGACCAGGACTTCTCCCAGAGCTCACAGATAGAGTTCAGTCACCCAGTGTAACTCAGAGGAGCTGCAATGGCACTTCACTTCCTTCGTGAGCCCCTTGCCTCACAGCCATCCCCTCCCCCTGCTCCCAGGTAAGGTGAGCAGATGCTCCAGAAGAGCAGGACAAAGCTTTGGCACCATTGCAGTCCATCACAGGCAGTGCATGCGCCAACCTTGGCCATGACAAACAGAACGAGGGCAGGGGGACAGCGGGGTCAGTCAGAGGAGGGACAGCTGGCAAGAGAGTTACAAAGCAGCTCATCACATACAGCTACATCCTAGAGACTGGCTTGGCTTTCCTTGGACCACTAGGGCTTGTTTAACAGAGCAGATGCCAGGATTCTGGGAGATTTCTCTTGCAAGGAATTTGTAGGTAGTGCTGCTTGTTTCTACCTGGACCACTGCCTTGAAAGCTGGCCTTGGAAAAGCCATTTTAACCTCTGGCCTCAAGGGGGAGGGAGCTGCAGTAACTTTGTGTGCTGAGTACAAACTAAAAAATGCCCAATAATCATATGATTCAAAGCAGGGGACCCTGCAGAGCATGAGGGTTTTGGAGGCAGCTCAGAGAGCACAGCTGCAGTGCTAGCACACATCTGTCTTCCCTTTCTTAAGCTCAGAGAAGCCCCATATGTTTGGGATGCTCTGCCAGTAAGAGACTAGTCCTCAAATCTTTGATTACAGGGAGATTTGCTGGTCTGCACTTGGACTAATCCCCACCCTGGGCCTCTGAGTGCCACCTACAGCACTCCAGTTCCAACAGATGGGAACTGAAAAGCCTTTTCTCCATCCTGATCCTTCTGGAGCCACACTCTATCTCCCGATAGCTAAGGCAAGGAAAAACCCCACCTTCTCCATGTTGTACTGCTCTGAGCTCTTGTCTCAACAACTCCTTCATTCCCACTTAATCTGCATCCTGGGAACCCAAAAGTGTGGTCCAAAGGCACAGCAGTCACTTTCAACTATGCATTCTGCCAGCAGATGCCAGGGTTTCAAAGCAGTGAGCAGAACTGAACCTAAAGCACAAAGTGTGCATCCCAGACCCGCAGGAGCTGTTAAACAAGGCACAAATCACCAGATCACCGGGAAAAGAGGTGGGAGCTGGGAGAGGGAACCTCAAAGGAACTGATACCTTATGGTAAAATCAAAATGAAAGCTCTTTTTCCTTTTCAGGAAGCAACCAAAGAAAAAGATAAATGTGTTATTATACTTACAACAAAGCCATACATTTGTTTAGATAGTGCTAATGGAGACACAATTCCTGAGCTGTTTTTAACAATCCCCTCCCTAAGCTGCTGCCAATGACAGAGACCCCCATTCCTAAAGGAAGGCACCCAGGAGACAATGCCCATGCTCCACTGGAGACCCTGCTCCTCTGACTCACTCTCCTTTGCCCATGGGGCACTGACCTGAAAGCAGAAGTTAAGGCAGACACGCAGAAATACTGAGAGATTGCTATGCCAGAGTCTCACCAGGAGTTTCAGCAATCTCCCTTCCCAATAACCTCCTAAATTCAAACTATGAACAGCTTCAGGCATGGCACCAGGGTCCAAAGGGTGCCAAACCCACGTGGGTCAGACCAGCTTGGTAAAGCAGTCCTGCACACTGCTGGGAGGGGTGAGGGCAGGATTTGCCCAAACACGTTTTAGCTGTTCTCCAACAAAGTGCTGAATTGACCTTCTGGACACACGAGAAACTCAAAACCCTTAAATGTGTGTTAGTGACAAAAGTGAGGCTGCACCAGGAGGGGGGAGGCAGTGGAAAGCAGTGCAGAGAGGGAACCAGGCAGCCTCAGAAGGGGCTCACACTGCACTGGGGAATCTGAGCTGGTTACAAAGGCAAGCCTTCACACCAAAAACAAAATGCAAAACTGAAGGCAAGAGCTTCAAGTGCTCTGTAGCTCTTTAAATTTCATCATGTTAACTTTACAGAAGTCCACAAATACATGAAGAGACTAGACTAGTCTCTTTTACTTGACTAGTCAGTCTGGAAATGCAGGAAAAACATGTAGAATGGGTGAAATTTCACTGAATCATTTCTGCACAGTAACGTGAGAGCAGACACAGGAATGGAAAAGCAATATACAATGAGAATTTCCAAAAAGGAGGGGAAGAAGTGATGCTACCCACGCTTCTAATTTCTCCCAATTCTTAGGCAAAGGAGACACCAATATAAGGGATGTTAATGGACCAAAAATGAAAAATCAGATAGAAGTAATTAAAAATTAACAACATCCCTGTCTCCTAGGGAGCTGCTAGTCCCTGACTGAGAAAACTCACATCAGCTGAGTTCAAATCTATTATCCTCCTCTGTCCCTTGATGACAGCTACTCTTCCTCCTGGACCATGGCCACAGGAGGCCCTACATACTCCTGAGTCTGTTCTCAGGCCCCAATCCTCCCTCCTACAGCCTGCTTATCCCTTAAGAAAAGTTGAAATGAAATCTGGTGAATGTCATCCCTCCTCAGCAGGAGTCCTGGTGGCTTGCAACTGCCAATCAACAAGGATTTTGTCTCTGCTGCCAGAAGCTCTGCTATTTACACACCAAAAAGAAAGGGGTTTAAACCCCAGTGTAAAAAAGGTCAGGTCTCATGGAAGATGCTTTGTGGGAGGATGCCAAGCTGCAGTCTCACACACCTAAGGTCACTGTGGCGAGGGAACTTAAGCAGATAAAATCTCTCCATCCCCCATCCTGCTTAGCCTTCACTTCCCCAAACCCCTTATACCTTCGATAAATAAAAAAAAAAAAGCATCACTGCACTTAAAGCAACCCTGCTGTTCAGATCCACCGAGTGGGACACACCACTGGGTGCAGCCTAACGTGGGGCTCCCAAGGGCTCTGGTTTTCAACGCTGGCACAAGATGAGAAAATCACTTTGCCCTCAAGCAGCTGCTGGTCGTGGGAGGCAGCAGGACGAGGGGGTCATACCTCTTCTGTTTGTAGGTCAGCATGGCTTCAGCAATGGGCAGCTGGTGGGCACAGTTGGCCCCTGCTATGTACTGCGTTATCCGGGACACGACGTCGGGCGCTTCCGAAACTGCAGGGGAACAGAGGGAAAAGCATCCAAGTGACTCCTGAGAGCACTGCCAGCACTGCCCTGCACTGCTCATGCTGCCCAGACAGCTGCATTTGGGCTGCACTTGGTACAAGCAGCTCTGCCTGCCCCAGAGCACAGCAAAGCTGAATTGTTCTCAGCGTTTCTGACTGAATCTGAGCCCTTTTAGCTCTTTTCTTTGTACCTGCCCAGAGTCAGCTTTAGACTTTTTCACACCTTAGCTGCAGGTATCTGCTGAAGAAAGTGCCTGGCCATCTCTGCCAGGTGAGCTGCTCTGCTCACACCTGCACTGAGTTACCTGAGTTTCTAATGGACTCATGGCCCTGCTGAGTTGACCAAAAAGACTGAGGGACACACAAGGGTAGGAAGAGCACAAAGACCACGTGGAATGAACCACAGTCTCACAAATCAAGTCCACACAAAGGCATTTCCTAAATGGCTTCCATATTTCTCTGGTTTCAACCAAAGAGCCTCAACTGTGAGATCACAGGAACACAAAGTGACTTTCAACAGGCACTTCCACACTTTACAATGGGCATTTCAAACCAGATTCTTTGCATTTGAGCAGTGAACTGGTGAGAGTTAGGATTCTCTGCCAGATCTTCTTGGGCCATCACGGAGTTTCTGTGCAGTTGCCACCACCCAGAGAAAAATGCAGAATGTACAAAGTCTGCACTATACAAAAATGAGGTGGAATTTCCCTCATAGCATACATCATATAACCAACTAAGGAAGAGACATGGCTCTTTCTGGGTTTCTAAAGGTAATGAAGAATTCCTAATTCTGACACAAAAATCAAGTCTGCATTGACATTCTTCTGCATTTTCAAGTGCAGCAAGCAAGTAAAGGAAACCAGTTCTTCCCTGAATTCAGGATTAAGGGAAAGCCTAGGTTGGACAGTACACTAGGAGATTTCTAGTCCAGCCTCCTGCTCCAAAGAGGGCTGACTTCACCTTCAACAGGCTGCCCCAGGCCTTGCCCAGCCACGTCCCCACCTGCTGGAACCAGCTCTCAACAATGACAAGAGATCCCTCTCCTCCTCCCATGGCTACAGAACTTCCAGGAGCATCCTAGGAGTGTCAGGAACTCTGCAATTCCAGCAGGGAGAACCACATTGCAACCTCCCCATGCTCATGGTGCAACACAAACTCCAAAGTTTTCCTTCTAATGAAATTTCTGTATGGGCAATGCTGCCTTCACGTGGCCCTGAATGCTGCAAATCCTCCTGGTTCCTTCCCTTATTGAAGAAATGGAGGGAGAAACTGTAAGCATTCATATTTTAAACAAATTATACTTTAACATGAAGTAAGGCTTTAATCTGGCCTAGAACAAACTCAGATCAGAACAGGAACTTGTTGGTCTGACCTAGGGCAGCTCCCACTTGTTACCACACTGGTAAAGAACAAAATTCTTCTTTAATGAGAATGTTTTCAAGTCTGCTGGCAGGATCTTTCTCACACACAACTAACAGAAGTTAATCTTCCCAGAGCTTCCAGTTTTCCAAAGGTTTTTAGGCTGCACATTTCCTGAAGGAAAGCAATGTACTGGACTTAGTAGCAAGACCTCCACATCAAAGAAGAAAGCTGAGAGCTAGGTAAGAGCAGCATGACTCAGAGGCAGCTAGTTAGTGCCTCTGGGAGCCAAGAACTGTTTGCAAACCACCATGTGCAAGACTTAGAAAGGTCAGCATCTGAAATGGGAATGTGGTGGAGCGAGGAGAAAAGAGGAACAAAAACACTTGTCTGCTTCCTCTTATATTTACTTGACCTTTGCTAAAATTACTCATTCAAGCTTTTCATCCCACACAGGCCAGACAGACACACAGAGCCTTACCAGTGGTCTGTGCTTCAAGTTTGTTGAACAGATCTCTCCAGGCTAGATCTTGGAAGAAGTTGTTGTATCTATAATCTACAGAGCCCAGGTACTTGGCCACTGGATGAGAGCCTAAGAAAGAAAGGAAAACATGAGTGCTCTCCAGTTTGATCTGCAAAGAATTAAACTCCAAAATCAAAACCACACTAGACACCTCAAAAATAAACTTCTTGAGTTATAACCAAGACATTTAGTCCAGCTTATCTCTACAAGAGCATGCAAATAGCCTTCCAAATGCAGACTGCTTCAACACACTGATATCTTTCACTTGACACTTTCCCCCTAACAAATGAAATTTTTAAAGGCCAAAGAAAACAGGACTGGGAAACTGCTGAGGAAATAAAAGATTTGGAAAGCACAAGGGCTCTACAGCTCTCCATGTCAGCCCCTCAGTTTTGCCAGCAGCTTTTCCACACAGCCCCTCCTGCCCAGAGGCTGCACCACAGCCAAGAGCTGTTCAAGTGACAAAATCTGCCACCTTCATTTCAGGCCATCTGTGTCCCCAAAAGAGACAACACCCCTCAGCAACTCGAGTCTCTGAACACAGGAGAAAAGGTGTGCCAGGATCACCTTCCCAGTCAGCACCTGGCAGTCGTGCTCAGCACCAGTCCTGCACATTTACTGTCAGCCATGAAGCAGCCTCTGAGTTCCCTTTAATCACATTATTTTCCTCCTTCCTGCACACCAAATTTGCACACCAAGCCACACTTCCAGAGGCTGCAACAGCTGAGACACCAGCTGGTGACTGGAAACCTGACAAATTCCTTCAAGAGGACCCCCGGTTGCTGAACTGTACTCACCATGGTCCAGAAAACCCCTGGTGGGAAAAAAAAAAAAACCAACAAAAAACCTCAACAATAAACCCACTGTGTTAGTCCTCCAAACCTCCAAGCTGATTCCCAGACTTCAAAGAGAGGTGAAAGCAGGAGGTCCCTCAGTGCCATGAGGACTGGGAGCCATCATTTCTCCTGCAGGGGAGTTTGAAGCAGTGCACACAGCTCAGCTCTGCACCATGAACTGGAGAAGCTTTCCCACATGCTGGGAAAACACACTGCACATGGAAACCAGCAACAAACAGGAAGTCTCCCAAAAAGTTCTACCCCTGGGACCTAGATAAAATGTTAAAATACCCCAAACAGCCAAAAAACCCCCAACATTTTATTTTATTTTCCCCTTTTGCAGTTGTTTATGTCGTGTTTTAGACAGCAAGAGAGTCTTAGAGCCATAGAACCAGTAGCATGGAGCAGGACTGACTCTCCCAGTTTGTATGGTTACTGTAATTTAATTAAACATTTCTGACTGCTAAGGTTGACCCTTGTGTCACTGGAGTGTGTGGCTGGGGACTCAGAAGGTAAAACCATCCATGGACAAAGTCCACCAGCCCCAGTTCAAAGGTACTGCAAGCAGCAGAGAGGATTTTCCTTTAAGGCATTTATGGCATGGTCACCATTCTGTCCTGGGTGCTTTTTCAATTGCCACAAGTGAGAGGTGGCTCCTCAATCACTTTAATGAACTGCCAGAGAGCTGGCCAGAAATAAGCACTTGATCCAATCAGGAAATACTGCAGACTTCCATGGAAAGGGTCCTGCTAGAGAAGTTTCTATATTTAAAGTAGAATTTTAAAAGAATTCACAGTTCTAAAGCATTTCATTATCAAAGTGCCTGGTTAATTTTTTCTTTTCTGATTACAAAAGAAAGTTTTAAGATCAAAAAACCAACCCAAACCCACACTAGCTAAATCCTGTGTTTCACCTTCAAAGAGAGAGTATTTTGAGATCATTAAAAACTGCAGGACAGAAAACTCTTCTTCTGAGACCAGGAGACAGTTAGCAAGTGAGTAGCAAAGCCTCAGACATAGATTCTCATTCAAAGCACATTTAACCTTGCAGAAATTAATTTTTTTGTTGTTGTTTTTACTCCCTAAAGGGCTCTCTCTTCTCTTCCTGCCAACCACTTTGGAAACTAAATGTGCTTTTTTTACAGAAGGATCCAGCTCTTTTCCTCTGCCTTTTTTTTATTTAACTTTTTGCAAATGCCACCCCTGAATGGACAGCCTAACCCCCAACCCCAGCGTTCATGGGGCTGGGCAGCAGCTCCTAATTCCTACAGGAATTGCCAACAGCTGCTCCCAAACCCAGAAAAGTGGGAAACACTGGCAAAAAGTGCTTTTCAAGTGTTCTTACAAGTTGCTTAAATCACTCAAGTGCTCTGTCCACACAAGTCAAGCCCTGGACCACAGCAGCACTGCCCAGATGTCCCTGCCCACAGCACCAGTGACTCCCCTGCTCCCCAGCCTTGTCCCCACAATATTCCTGATGTTTCTGACTAAAACCACAACATTCTTCATGTTTCTGACCACAACCAGCCCCTGGAGCTGTTACCAATCCACTCTCCCACCCTCCCCACAAGCAATCCAAGCTGGGGAGCTTTCCAGCCAGGCAGCCTTGCTGAGCTGCTGAAGGGGCAGAGATTAAGCTGTTGGAAAACTGAGGGAAAAACCTGAGCAGACCAGCACATAAAGTAAAGGCCAAAAGATGCATGTAATTTGAATAATTCAAATTCTCAGCAGTTTCAGAGCCTTTAAAAAATTTTCAACCCCTCCTCTATTAACATTTTCTGAGTCAAGCCCAGGGAGGCCAGAACAGTTATTGCTTTGGGAAACATGGTGCCCACTGAATTTAACATTTCAGCCAAGGAAAAGGGCTTCTAGAACAATATTCTGTGCATAAGAGTCTCCTCTGTGTGGGGAAGAAGTTCTTAACCCTTTGCTTCAAACCAAAGGCTTACAAGCAGACTTTGGCATCAGGAAGTCACAGATGAAATTCACTCACACAAGAGCAGCACAAACCAGGACAAAGTGCCTCATTTAAACTATAGCCAGAGCTCCAGGAAGGCTTCTCCTGAGGGAGAACAGCACATTTCACCCATTCCCCTTCCTGGGAACAAACACCAGCCCTTATTTACCTAGAGGGATGATCAGAAATTTCATGTAGCCGAGCCAGTCGGGGGTTTTGTGAGACAGCTGCTCTACAAAGAGCCTCAACACAGCACTGAGGTAATTCTGGGCTCCTGCCACTGCAATTTTAATTGGGTTTGGAGGCTGTGAATTGCAGTTACAGCTGGACAGAAAAAGAGGAAACATATTTGTAATTGTGCCTTCAACCACGTATTTCAGAACAAGCAGCAAAAAAAAAAAAAATAAAAGCAAAAAACTGATAACAATTATAGCAGAAGAGTTTGTTCAACACACAAGACAATATTGCAACTATTCTCAGCGGCTTAAAACATTAATAAAATACAACATTCTTCAGTAATTTCTTAATTGGTCTCCCTGCTCCCTCTTTTGCACATTTTGATATTCTGAAGGGCTGGGCTCGAATTTCTAGGTTAGGATGTACCTGCTAACTGCTGGGTCAGACAACACACTCAGGTACCCACAGCCCTCTGCAGGTAAGTAGGGAATGCCTTCAGGAACCGAGGAATTCATCTGGCAATTGCTTGGAAGGGAGAGCAGGAGCTGTTTAACACCCCCTCGTTTGTTTTGCATGCTTTAGTGGTGCAGGCACCTGAGCCAGGATGCAGCCCCCAAAGCACCATCTCTGATCATCACTGCTGGGGGTGACTTGGATGCCCCACAGGAGGCAGAGCAGCAGCACCCTGCAGGGCTGTGAGAGCTGAGGAGCCACACAATTCTGACTTCAGGAGAGCAGACTGGAAAGGTTTCATGCAGCAGCTGAGAAATGAAATCCCCGAGTCCTGGGGCACAGAGGCTGAGACAACACAAGCAAGGTGAGAACTTACTATCTCTGTATCCTGGAGACAATTGTGCTGAAAGCTGCCTGAATATCAGCAGAGGAACAGGTGCAGACCACTGGCAAGGTGTGCTTTTGTAAGACATCTGAAAGATACTGAGGAGAGAACAGAACACTTTATATCTTTTTTTTTTTTTTTTTTTGGTACATGACAACCCAGAGCAGCACAGTTTTTACAGCCACAGAGGGCAGGGCAGCTGCAGCAGACAGCACTGGGAAAGAGCAGACACTACCTGCCTGCTTCTGGAAGTGCATCTCTCTGATTTCCATTTTAAAAGGAATGCAATGTTCTGCCCACCCTTAAACACTGAAGAAAGGGAAGGGTGCTACCACACTCATGAGGGACTGTTCTCCCTCCATGCAGCTGATGGGGACACCACACACCTCAGGTACACATGATGATCTCACACTTTGCATTTCTGTATGACTAATCTGTACACCCCAGTCCATATCCTTCATGCCCTCTGCCACTGCAGGCACAAGCTGCCAGAACCCCTGGAAGATGATTTACAACACTTTCTGCCCATCTCCAGAAGGCATTTCTCTGCCTTCCAAGTATCAAGTGGAACCAGTAGCTCAGATGGTATTTTTCTCTCACACATTGAGACCTAAGCTCTTCCAGGAGCAGAAATCCAAACCGGACAATGTAACTCCACAAGCCTGGCACAAGTTCCCCAGGCAACAGCCACCCAGCACATGTCCACTGGTCCTCTTCCATACATATTTTATTGCTTTCTCAGAATAAGGTTCCAAAAGGAGCAAAATTTGTTCCAGACTCAAAACTGCTCCATGCTGTCAGCAAAAGAAAGAATTGGGTTCTTCTTAAAACAACTATCACTCAGCAAGCATGGGGTGATTCCTGCAGCCAGCAGTCACAAGCACATGCCTACAGAGATGAAATATTTCCTGAAATATTTTCTCCTGTTCACCAGCCGTGCTCAGAAAGCTCAGCCTAAACCACCACAAGGTCAGACCTGCCTGCTTCCTTTGTCCCAGCCTACCACAGTTTAGGAGGCTTTTGAGTGCCAGGGTTTAGCCATATTGCCAGTGTGCTGCTAACCAGAAGGAATGGCATTGCTTGGAGGGAAAATACCTCTGTGGAAAGGCTCAGGTGACAAAGTTTTATAAGATCCCAGCATGTCCTGGCCAGATGAAATCCAGCCTGTCTGGGCACTGAACACTCTGCAGGCAGAATGCAGTAGAACCTACTTGGTCAAGTGCAGAGCTCAAAACCATTCCTGAGGAGGAACAGCACAGGAAAATTGTGCTCAGGCAATGTCTCCTGCCCTTACCTGGCCTTGCCAGTCAGATGTATTGACAAGAATGATGTTTTCTGGCAGCTGGTCATCAGAAACCAGGATGTGATTTAGCTGGTCATACACTGTTTTCCTGGGGATCTGGAAATAAAGACACAGAGAAGACAAGAGTAAGAGGTGTCACCTTTAACCATGAAGCCTCCAGCTCTTGTAAGTGATGAGGTGGCTGTGCATGCTGGCCAGTCACCCCATCAGCAAAGGCACACTGGCATGCTGGGACTGACACTGCATCAGCCACCATGGATTTGTTGGCCATTACTCCTTCTGCCAGGCACTTTTACTCACATCACTTTATACCAGCTAAAGCAGCCCAAGAACGAAAGAGTCAAAAGCCAGGAAGAATCTCCTTCAAGGAGGGAAATAAGGGAGTCCCAGAGTTAACAAAAGCATGGCACATATGCTGTGCACAAGGCAGTCCCTAGCAATCTGCCTTATTTCAAAGGAGTAAATCCTCAACACATCCCTATTCATTTCTCATTCTAACAATCTGTTCCAGTGTTTTGAGTTTATGCCTGGCTGACAAAGCTACAAGCTGGCAAACCCCAACAGACTGGATGGAAGATACAATTTTAGCCAAGATATAAATTCCCTCTTTCCTGAAGCTGCAGGGACCAGTTCCTTGCCAGCAGGGACTGAGCTAGGACCAGAAGAAAGGAGACGGTGTTGGATCCCAGAAACCTGGGGTTCTTGAGCTTTCTGTGATTTCTGCCACTGAACCCCAGGAGAACATTGCTTTTGACCTGAGGCTTTGGAGAAGGCTTCCAAATTTGAGTGATGGAGTTAAAATTATGGGTGTGTAGTGAAATAGAAGTGTGTGCTTTCACATAGTGAAGGGTTTTAAATTGGAGGTTTTTATAATACAGTAATAGGTATGGGACAAGATGGAGGATTTGGGGTGGTGTCTTTTTTGGTGCTCATCTTCCTTCTTCATGAGTTTCAGGCAGTAGTTTCTGGTTGGACAGTCAGTGTCACACTGAGGGTCATGGGAATTTAGTTATTGGGTTAAAAGGATAAATAATATAGGTGTTAATTCTCTGTTGGACTGTTTAGCTTTAAGAGACCTTGTAGCAGCTGCATCTTTCTCCATTTTTCCTCACTTCTAGCAGGCAGCTGGAAGTGCTGCTGAACACTCTGTACTTTTTGCTCAGATTTAACAAGCAAGCAAGCCCGAACACGAGAAAATCCATTTCCACCGTGCACTTGTTAATCCTGGCTCTGAGCGAGGGCAGAAGAGACGGAGACAAAGCACGGATTAAGCGGTGCAAAGTCGCTCCCAGCGCTGTCCCGGGCAGGGAGGAGAGGCAGGAGCAGCAGCGCAGGGCAGTGCCCACCTGCAGGTGGTGCCGGGTGTCCGGGGAGCGCTCGTTGTCCAGGCTGTTGGCTCGCTCGTTCTGCGGTCTCACCGCCTGCCGCTCCTTCAGGGATGTGCTTCTGCCCCGGCGTCCTGCCTGCTTCCCTTCACACCTGCTGGACACACGTGGCACTGCCAGGACTGGCACATTTCCCAGTGAGACACAGCCCCCAAATCCCCAGCGCCCCCGGTCATGCCAGCAGAATTCTGGCACGTAGGTCTGAGCTAGAGTGAGACCTGATGATTCTGCTTCTGACAGTGCACAGCACATTCCCAGGAGTCCTGGGATGACTTCCACAGCCCATGCTAACACCCACACCACCTCTTTGCTGCTGCTACAGCAGCACAGTGAGATCCAGCCAGGCAAAGTGCAGTCACACAGCTCAAAGCAGCTCAGAATACCTCTGGCCATTCATTTATCAAGAGCTCCAGACCCATCACTAAAGTGCCCAAACACAAGGAGGGTGTCCTGGCAGTTTAGTGCCTTAAGGCCACCCTGACCAAATCCTAGCAGGCTGTCCATGACTTCCTGAGCAGCCCTGTGCCCCTGTACCTGGTGGATGGGATGATGAGGGACTCTGTCTTCGTGATCTTCCCGCTGGGTGGGAGCTTCTCCACAAACACGTCTGGAGTGGGGAGATCAGCCTCCTGCACCTCAGCTTGCTGGTTAGACTCCTGCAAAAACACAGGGAACAGAGTCAGCAGGAACAAACCCTCCCCTGTGTCTCACCTTGGGAGCTTAGTCCTGGCTGGGGCACACTGAGCCTGCCTCTTCCAGACATCCTCCTCACTGCCAAAAGGGAGAAACCAGTAGTGCTTATCTGGGGCTACCCAGCTCTGCCTCACAGGGGAGCTGGAGGGGGGAAAGGTGTTCAGATTGGCTGATCCAAACAGCATCTCTCACACCTCAAAGCCTCCCCATGCAATGCAGTTTAATTCATCCTACCCCAATGAACTAGCTAAGAGAGAAAGACATGAGAGAAATGCTCCACACCCCACGTTCCCAGCAGAGCAACTTGAGCTTTGGGATTTTTACCCCAGGACCAGCTTCATTTCTGCCAATTCAGCTTAAACTAAGACTTCTGTCTGATAAAGGCCTTGAGCATCCTTTAGGTGCTCAACAGCAAACTTTGGGCCAGCCTTCCTCAGGCTGTTTGAACAAAAGGTCAAATAGAGCATTCCACCTGCAAAAGGCTGAAAGATGAGAACCTCCAGGCTAAGGTGAGGAGGAGAGCTCAGTGCTACCTTCTCTGCAGCTGGTGTTACCCATGCGAGTTGTGCTGCATGTGCAGCCATAAGGACAGAGAGATGCAGCCCACAGCTGACACCCACACTGACAGCAGGAAGGACAACACGTGCATTTTCAACTTACATAAGGGACAGTGTCAGAAACACTGTCGCCTGCATGTTTGGTTCCAAGACTCTTTGTCTTTTCAGGCACTTCTACCTGCTTGAGAGAAGAAAAATCCTCAGGAGGTTTAGCACCAGCACAGTTTCCAGCCACGTTCTCTGGGCCAGGCTGTTGAGAAGAGATGCTTGCCCAGTTAAACATCACACAGCTCTGCAGCATGGCCAGCAGTGCTCCCTGCTCACCCCAGGACTGCACACATCAGTGTGGGATGTGGCAAAGCTGATGCACAGCACACAGGAGAGGCAAGGAAGTGCCCTGGGATGGGACTGACACTTCATGTCCAGGAGGGAATGGAAAAGCAGCTGAGCTGCTCCAGACCATTCAATGTCAGTCACCAGGGAAAGTACCCCAACAACAGCAAAGAAAAGCTTCCTCCACAGAGTGCTAGGAAGTCCCTAAAACTCCCAGGCAACATCTCCCATCCTGGCAGTCATTTCAGGCACATGGGAATCCGAGGCTATTCACACCACCAGCAAGTATTCAATACATAACCCAAAGATGCACCCTTGGAGTTAATAACAACATTTGCATTAAAAAAGAAAACAAAAACCCCAAACTGGCCAAAAAAAAAAAATCCCCAATGTCCCAAAAATCCAAACGGGTTTTCTTAGCAGAAAATTTTTATCTCTGCATCCAAATCTTTGGAGGGGGTCAGAGAGGCTGCTTCAATTTACACATGCAATTAGAGACAGTGCAGAGGGGTAACACTTGAAATGTGACTTACAGGACTTGGTGGCTCTCTCTGGCTCCTGATGCTGTGGATGCTACCAATTTCTGTCTGAGAGCTGGAGTGTGACAGTCCTTCAAAGTAAGGTCTGAATAAGAAAAGTAAAACCCATTTCTTATTACCAAAACCAAGGCAAGTTCACCACATTCATAGCACAGCAACATGACAGTTCCCAGAAGATCTTCCTGCTCCCCAATGGTTCCAAGTATAATAGACTGGTTTTGGAAGGAGAGGAAGGTGTCCAGGAATCCCTGAATCTGACTGACATACAGCAAGGAGAATCACTGCTTCCCCCCACACCCCAGCACTCTGCTCCTGGGTGATTCTCAGGCTAATATGCATTTTATTTCCAGCTTGCATCTGGATTTGGCTGCCAGCCCTGGGCTCCAATTACACATTTGCTCAGTAAGATAAGGTACCACACACAATCAGATTGTGCTTCCACTCAAAAGGCAGCTCATCACATCAGGCTACAAGACTCAATTACAACGTAAGGAACCGATTTTTTGTCGTAGTGGGAAAAACCTGCCTCAAAGCCATCAACATTTATCACATCCTCTTCGAGATATGGAACCTAGGAAACTACAGAGTGTCTCCCCAGGACCACACACATGAAGTTCTTATTCCAGCCTTCACATATCCCAGAACAGTTTGCTCCTCAGCTCCAGGGAACAGGATATGAACTCTCAGTGTGGAAAGTTAAACATTTTGGCTTGTTTCGAAGCAGCTGCTTAGCACAACACAATCTATTTTCAAATCCCTTCAAGGTAGGGCCTACCAACTGCTTGGTATCTTGGGTTAAACACCAAACACCTCTACATGCCACCAGCCCCAGCATTTCCACTGCTGCCCCAGTCTATCCTTGACATCTTCTGGCTCACTGATAGGGAACAGAGACTCACAATCTGCTCTTAGCCCAATGAGGTTATTCAGCATTAATGAGGATATAATGACACCTGGTCATTAGCAGGTTCAGCAGCTGCTGTGCTGACCAGCTGCATGGTCAGTGCCACAGCTCTTTGTTTCAGAGCCATCACACCCTGAGGGCCTGAGCAGGCAAGCACACACCAGCCAGAAGCAGGAGTGCAGCTCAGTCTCGTGCTTTCAGCCTTTATTGAGCAGAGATGTGACACAGCTCTGTCAGCTCAGGGCTCTGCATCTGCTCCAGACCCTGAGGAAGAACCCCCAGCTCAGCTCTGCAGGGCTGGGACTGACCCACACGATCTCTTTAAGAACAGGCTTGAGCACATCCACGTGTGCTGCACTCAGTGCCTTTGGGCCCTGGGGAATTCATTTGTTTCCTGCAGCTCTGCTCCCTCAATCCCTGCAAAGGCTCTCTTTCCACACAGGGTGTTATTACAAGAAAGGTCTTTCCAGAAAAACACTGTGCCTTGTTCATCCCTGCCTCAGCACACATTTCCTTCCTGTTTCTGCTGCCTCTTCAAAACACTGTGTGCAGTTCAATTCTCTGCCTGTGTGCCACCAACTCCTTCTCTGTGCTCAGGTGGCAGGACAGCAGGACATCTGCAAAGGGAACAAGGGAGGACTGAGACTGAAGGGAAGTCAGACTTCACACACGCTTCCTATTCAAACACCACCATGCCAAGAGGGGAAACATGAGCATGGAAGGCTGAGAATAAAACCAACATCTGTCACTGGGCATGGTGTCTCTCTGGCCCAGCACAAGCTGCCTCACACTTACTTTAACTTTGGCTTTGGAGTGCTCAAGACACTGTCATCATCCTCCATTTCTGGCCCGCTGTCACTGGGATTCTCGATATCCAGCGTGTCATACAGAAGGTCCAAATCCTCCTCCACCTCTGGAACGTGCTCTGCTGGGTCCTGCTCTGAATCCAGAACCTGCACAGGACAAAAAACAGGAATCACCAGCTCTGCTGGGAGCCAGACTGATCCCACATCACCCATGCTCCCTCCACCACTGCAGTACACCAGTCCTGGGAGTAAGATTCTGTTCCTGATGCTAGGATATGATAATGATCCAAGAAACATAAAATACAGGAGAAATGCTTGTCTTGGATCAAGCTTGCCAATGCCTGGTTAGGCAAGAGTTCCATATTGGACTAGGCATGCACAGACATGCTATTTAACCATTGGTTATGTCCATTATTCAATGCTATTCTATAAACAAAGAACTTTAAAAAGGTTCCAAAGGAGTCTCGGTTTTCCTAGAACCGGTACAAAATTCCAGTACTCCCAACAGCCTAGCCTGTCTTGGGTTTTACTGAAAAAGCTGCCCTGACACTCCTGATTTGATACCCAAAAATGTCCACAGGAGGCGCCTGAAACCTGGAGGAGGCAAGGAGAACAAGCAGCTCGCACTCAACTTGATTTTACATCCACCCCGGAGCAAGCAGGGGCTGTGCCCAGCCCAGAGCTGGCTTTTTGAGTGGCAGCTGCAGAGAAGCAGCAGCTCAGCTGAGCTCCCAGCTGCGGGTGCTGGCTCTGCCCAGCTACCTTGGGAAGAGCAGCAAAGCCAGCAGGACTGCTTGGGAGAGTCAGGAAGCACGAGGAGTTACTCACTCCTTCCCACAAGGCACAGAATCAGCACACAGCCACAGGAGATGTCAACTGGTTTTGTGTCAGACACTTCATGTCACACAGGTTCCCTGGGGTTTGGATCTGCCTTTCCAGCTCTGACCAAACAGCTGGCTCGTGTGGATTGAGCTCCCTATCTAATTTTTTCACGGCTGTTCTAGTAAGATGATCAAACAGGCTGGGCTCTAACTTCACAAGCAATACACAGCATTTGGACTGTTTGCCTTTGAATGGGTCAAAGATAATTTCAAAGCGAGCTGCAAAACTAATGGAGACGCACACGGCTGCCAAAATCTGCTTTTGATAAAACTTCAGCTAGAAAATGTTTGCTGACATTTAGAAGTTGGCCCTCAAGCCTCCCTGCAAGGCCAGGGTGTAAGGAAAGGTCACATCCACTGTGGACTTGAAAACAAAATGAAGGGAACAGGAGGAAAAAGGGGAGTGCTCCTGAAGACTAAAGCAAGATGCACCAGGCAGGAAGGTTTACAGAAGGAATTACTCACCTCATCAGACACTTTAAACCTCTTCAGCAATGCCACAACCTTCTGCTTGAAGTTTTGTTGCTGCAAGTTAAAGACACTTTTACATAAGTAAACCATTAAGTGAGCTGTTTTCTCCCAGCCTGCAAGAAGCCAGACACATCTGACACTGGTGCTACACTGCTGTTTAAAATCAAACAATACCTGGCACCCCAGAGCACCTCTCTGCTGCTCTTACACTGAAATCAGCTTTTCCAGATTAATAATCTTGGGATAATTTCATTACCACCAACTGGTAGGTCCCACTCAAGCGAGCACTATAAATCTGGAAGATGGCACTCCTCTTTGGGTTGGACACAATGGACAACAATTTTTATCTGCCAGATCAGCTCCCTGTGCCTTTTTGATATATTCCTGGAAAACACCTGACAGTCAACTTTTGATTCTTACCAAGGGTGAGCCAACACAGACAACCACCCACTGACCCCAAGAACAAATATGATTTTTACCACCAAAGCATGGGGTTTTTTTTGCAGGAGTTTGCTCATTTCTTTCACTAGCAGCACTGGTGAAAAGCTCTGGCACTTCTCCTCAGCACTTCTCCTATCACACAAATGTTTCTTGAGTTATGCTCCCAGTCCTGGACACAGCAGGAACAGAAGGCAAACTGCTGCATTTCCTTGGTGCCTGCTCACCCCCAGGTGCTCCCCCTTTGGCAGGATCACACAGCTCAGGTTTGCCAGGAGCTGCCCAGCCCTCCTCTGCCTGTCACTGAGGCACATTCTCAAGAAGGGCCCAGTTCCAAGTGCTGGTACAGAGCATTTGAGGTGACATCCTTGTGTCAGGAGGAAAGGGAGAAGGAAATCCCTGCCACCAGGCCACTCTGAGGTGAAGAAAGTTGCTCATTGCTGACTCTCCTGAGCTCTCCCAAGTCCAGGTGCCTACTCCCAACTCTGGCCTTAGACACTTCACACAGAAGTTCACCCTTGGTCTTTGAACTCCTATCCTGCAGCTGCAGCCACCTTCGAGGCAGCTGAAGCTTAGGTGAAATAAATGCACCACACACTCCCAAGACAGCCCTGTTTCTGTCCCCAGTGCATCCCTGAGGCTGAGATGCTCTCACAAGAGCGAAATTTCTCCTCTGGCTCAGGGTGGCAAGTCAAACCATCCATGACAACACCTGGGACAGGCTCAGCAGCCCATGGAGGGGGACACAGCATGCAGCAGCTAATGTGACATGGAAAGAGCTGGTTGCTGGCCTGAATGGTTTCAGAGAGAGGAGATCTGGTTTGGACTGGGTTGGTATTAATTTAACTGGCCTCACCAAGCCCAGTTTTGCACAGCTGGAGATTCAGCATCACTTCAGAGGTCAGGGCTAGCAAGGCACTGTTATTGTGAGCTCCCTGCTTAATAACCAAGTGGTGGATTTTGTCCTGACTGGTCACTGATGCTTCAAAACCACACAGACACCGAGGATGTGAACCAGCACACTCCTGGCCTCACAGAAAGGATCTTCATAGTGACAGATTGAGGTCAAAACAGGGTTTATTTCAGACCTCATCAAAACATGGATTTCAGGAACAGCCTTAGGCCATGGTGTGGTGGAGCACAAGGCCCTGCTCCACACAAGTGCAGCTTTGCAGGCACACTCATGCCTGTGTGGGAGGGTGTGCAGCCACATGCATGTTCTCTATGTATAATGTCCTGCTACTTCTTTTGCCTCAGCAGCACATGCACCACCTGAATTTTACCCATCTAGCTCCAACCCTGACTAAACCACTTCATTTTGAGAACTTCCTGCTGGCCTCTCCCACACAGAGCACAAACAGGAGAGCTTTCCTGCACTTAGAGCTACTTCCAGGACTTACATGAGCATGGACCCTGCACTGGCTTCTTCATGGGGGTGGGATTTAATACACCTGCACGATCTCTGGAGTTCCTTAACCTTGCCAAGACATGCACACACCTTGGATGGTCCCACTGCCTGAACTGGCTGCTTTTTCTAGCTCTTCACATGCCCCCAAGCTCCATGATGGGCCAGGTTGTCTTGCCTCCCACAAGCCACATGCACTGCACATCCTGGCCAAAGCCCATGAGTGTTAGTAGAACTAATTTCCACCGACCCTGGTTATGGACGTCGTTCTTACTATCGATCTCCGCTGCTTCTTGGGCTTCCCCATCTCGTACTCATCATCATCCAAATCCTGAACAGAAAGAGGATTCCCGTGTTACCTTTGTGATTCCATGACACACAAGCATTTAAGTGCTAAAAATGTTCCTCCTATGGAGATGAACCTGCTGCTCTGTCCTCCAGGCATCCAGCATTTGCCTGAATTGCAGTTATGATGGTAGAGGGGAAAAGGAAGTGAGACAGGTCTGCAGGGACAGGAGTAACAGCTTGGAGAAGCAAAACAGCCCTAGCTCTACATTCAAGGAACAAGGACAGTCACAGCCCCACATTTTGGTGGGTCCCTCTCTCAGTGTCACCCTCTGACAGGTGATGCCAGAGTCTGAAGGCAAGTAAGACCCAAACTCATCTGGTCAGGGGATTCTCCATAAGGACCTACTGTGCAAAAGGTATTAAAGACTAAAGGCTGCCTCAGACCTTGCTGGCCCTTTAATTCCAGCTGGGGATCCAGTTGGGCTCTTTGAATCCAATGAGCTCTGCAGAAGCAATGAAATGACACCCTGACCATTAAGCAGAGAAGCACAAGGATGCCAATGTTTTTTCAGAGAGCTCAAGTCCAAACACGTGAACAGATAAATCACAGCATGGCAGAAGAAATGGGTTACTGTGCAGGCCTTCTCCACTGCAGCTGAACACTTGGTAACAGCCTCACACTGGTGTGGTTTAGATACAGAAATAGACTTTTAGTTTGAAGCAGGAGCTGGGAGTGCACAGGCTCCATGGAGCCCTCTTGGGAGAAGCCATGCCCTGAACAGTACCTGGCCCTGCACGGCATCATCACTGGCCTCCTGCTCAGAAGAGAAGCTCTCGTACTCCTCCTCGGAATAGTTGTCTGAAAGGGAAGGAAAGAGGGGAGAGATCCTGTGAAACTCCTTCAAGGTCTCATCTCAGGAGCAGAAAAGGCCAGCTAAGTCACAAATGAAGAACAGAGAAGACAAACTTGCAGGCATCTATCTGTACTAGAACCAGTGAGATGGGAATTGTCTGGAGGAAAGGAATGAGGAGAAACACACCCAGTAGGAAGGAAGGTCCAGGACACAGGTAAGGCTCCTCCTCCTCTTACCCTGGAAACCACCTGGCACACAGCAGCAAGTAAAGAGTTTCCCCACAAGGGAAATTACTGTTCTCCCTGACAGTGAGCATAACTGACTTAAAGGGGCAAGTAAAACATGACAGAGTCTAAAATCTTTTTGGAAATGACCCTCCAGGTGAGCTGCCAGGCCCCAGGCACTGCACTGCCTTCAGCAGGTCACCCCTGCAGCAGTGAGCAGAGGGCTGGTAGCACACTAAAACACCACCACAGGTCTGAACCCAGTGACTCCCCCATCCAGTGCACAACATCATGGGTTTATACTCTTCAAGCCAGGCAATTATCCCCAGCAAAATGTGCTGCAGGTTTGCAGGTTTCACCTAAAGTTAATGAAATTTATTGTAGAACACTCAAAGGAAAAAGAAGATGGAAGAGTAGCTTAAATGTGAATCTCCTGAATACAACCCTGATAGCCAGGTGAGAAGCTACAGGCTCTCCAAACACCCACCAGTAATGCTGGGAGAGCACTGGTGAGGACACAGCCAAGCCTTGCTGGATGGCTCGGGTGTGGTGTGGCATGCAGGAGAAGCTCTGACCATGCATTGCCCCACTCCTGTCACACTCTTACACAGCAGCACTTCTGCAACGTGGGTTTTCTTTGCACTGATCACTTATGGACACAGGGACTTGTGCAAACCAGTCCTCATTGGTCCCAGGAAGCTTCCAAGCCCAGGTGGGGGTTAACTCCTGGTTCAGGAAGACTCTGCTCCTCAGAGAATGTGGTTGGACTCTTACCTGTAGACTTGATTTTCTGGCTGGCCTGCATAGTGCTGTCTTCATGGTCGATTGGCTGGCTTGACAAGGAGAAGATCCAGATTTCTGCCACCTTCACTGGAGCCTCTTTGATGTTGCTGAAAAGGCTCAGAACCTGGCCACCTTCTGTAGGATGCTGCATGACCTGGGACAGAAATTAAGCAGTACAAATCTGCATCTAAATGTGCTTAAACTCGTATCATTTGCATACTACAAGAGTTATTTATGTTAATGGAGCTACTCTACATTTCTAGGACCTTGTAAGCACAGGAGCCACTTGCAGGCAATACACAAGGCTAGCTGAGATTTTATCTGACTGCCAATGAGAGTGATGGAAGGAAACAAAAAACATTCTGAGCTTAACAGCTGATTAGCTCACCCTTGAAGCAGAATACTTGACTACCTCATTACTATGGATTTGCTTTCCCAGCACAGCACTGATTTGAATTATCAAGTTACCCACCTTCTGAACACCTAATTGAGGAACTACATTTTGTCTTAAAACCCAGCAAAAGAGCTGGGTAAAAGCAAAAATTCTTGGTGAGATACAGATGTAAAGTGCTTCCTGAAGCAAAATACCTTTGCTCTAGAGAGCTGACACGAGAATCTCAGAGGAACTGGCCACCACCCTGGGACAATGAAAACCAAGTCAGTGGTGGAGGCAGAGGGACATCTTGGTGCAGATTTCTCCCTCGTTTGCCACTCAGAGCTCAGAGGTTTCTCCCCAGAACTTTGTGTTCTCCTCTTGCTCACCAGAGTGAGTGATCACATCCCCTCACCTGCACATCAGCTTTCCAAGGCTGCTCTGCCAACTCCTCACAGGGACCCAAACACACCTGAGCTGATGAGGAACATCTGTCCCCTGAAACTGCTCACTCTCAACTCCAATTAATTCACTGCTTTGTTTCCACAGCTAGGAGAATTTTTTTTTTTAAAAGAAATGAGTCAGTGGAGTTTAGAGGTCATCATCCTATAAATTCCAAAGGGGAGGGGGGGGGGCTTGTAAAATCTGTTTTCCTGAAGACTTCAATTTCATAAATATTCCAGATGAGTTGGAGAGCAACTATTTCCTAACATGGTGAACCTTTGAACATTTTTGACCTTCCAACCCCAGTCAGCTGACACACAAACAGACATAAGAAAAACCACATGTAGCAGCAGCTAATGCCCAACATTTAGATGACTCTAATTAATGGGCCCACATGTTTTCTGCCTTACAGCAGTATTTACTTTCCAGTTGTCCAACAAATCAAACAGTACAGGAAAAATGTTAGCTGCAGTACCAAGCATTTGGCCAACTCAAATAAGGAGCTCACCATTGACCACAAGGCTGAGGGAAGCTGCACTCACACAGAGAAGCAGTATTTAAAGTGAATTATTTGATATAGTAATAACTCACCACAGCATAACACTAGCTTGTTTTGGATAAAATTCATTTGTTGACAGAATGCAGTCTGATGAAAAATATTGGTGTTAAACTGAACTTGCTACTGCTAAGACCATTTCTAAACACTCAGACACTGAAACAGCAGAGATTAAACAGGCCATGAAATAACAAAGCATGGAGTTATGCCATTCAGAAAGCCTTTGTGAATAATTTATCCATACTTGACTCCAGCATTAATTTTATCATTTACTTTCTCATGAATAGAGCTCCACCTAAATTACCAACAGCCACGAAATAACAATGGCCAAGGGTTTTTCAAGCAAAATGAGAGAAATTATTTAACCCTGAACTCTCATACTGTGGCACTGAGAAGCACAGCAAGTCTTGCTTGAATTTTACCACTTCTCAGGGTTGGAAGGCTTGCCCAAGTCACTCTGTCTCATTCTGCACTTTTGATCTGAACCCCCGAACTCTAACAAAGCCACAAAACAACAACAAAACCCTCAAAAGGTCACCAGCTATCCCCGAGAAAGCTTGAGCTGTTAAAAGATATGAGGCAGAAAAAGCTCAATATTATCACTCCCTAACAAAATCTGGTTAAAACATTGCCCTGGGAATACTGATTCGAAATCCAGCCAGATGCTTCTCAATGTGACAGCAGTGGGTTTGGAGAGAAGGGAAGATGTCCAGGTGGGTAAAGAGACCATGGGAAGGGCAGCTCACCTCAGCCATGTTGATGCATCCCACAGCCAGGGTCTTGTAGCCCAGAATGGTTCGGTTCTTGTAGCGCTTGCGCCGCTGCAGCATGATCTGGAGCTTGTTGCCTTCTCTCTTCAAGAAGTGAGGGTACTGAGGTGGGAAACAGTGCAAAAGTTCATTTTGTGTCTTGGCAATACCTCCCAAGCTTCATGGACGAGCTCCATCCCTAAGGAAGAAGCCCAGGGCTTTCCTGAGTGCCTACAGCTCACTCATACAGCGAGCGATTTTCAGCTCTGCCCCAACAGCTCAGACACAACCCAGCCCCAAAAACACAACCCAGCTCCAAAAACACAACCCAGCCCCACAGAGCTGCTGCTCCATGTGGGAAGGACTGCTCCCAGGGGGATGAGCAGCCTCCAGGAGACACTCTCCCCAACAGTTGAACAGAAGATGCCCAGAAGTGGAGCCCATGGGCTGCCCTGCACAAGCAGTGGGCACTGCAGGGACAGCCACAGACCACCACACTCTTGGCAGGAGTTTTCTCCTTCCCTCCAGCACAAGGACACTTCTCAGTTGGTTGTATTTTAAGTAATTAAGTCAAGAAAAAGAAACAAAATCTGTCCTACTGCCAGGTTACATTGCAAAGATATAAATCCTCCCAAGACATGTATAAACAAATATATTTTCTTGTATGGAACACCTCCTCCAGAAAGTCCCCAGGAAGGGAAAGCTGTGAAGTCAAGCAGAGACTATTAGGGAATGAGTAGGGCTAGCCATAATCATAACCATGAAAGAAAAGATAAAGCAGCAACCTGACCAGTTCTCATCCCGAGAGGAGACTGGGACACCTGCTCCAAATATGAAACATAAATAGCATTAAATAACCAGCAGACAGGAGAACCTAATCACTAGGATCTCAAAAAGGACATTCCCAAGTGAAGGATGCTTCTCTTGCAGGGAAAAACTACCTCCTTTTTTTTCCTTGGGACATTATGAAAATTAATTTCCTGCCCATCAAAACACTTCATGAAATCAAATAGCAAACACCACCAGAAACCCCTGAGATATTAATTTGCAGTCCAGAGCAAGCCTGAGTGCTCTGCAGGGAGCTGGGAGCAGTGGCCACCCAAACAAGAAGAATACTAATTAGCTGATTGCCCTGCAAGGGCAAGATCTACTGCTCACGGCCTGAGGCAGAGGCATTGCAGGACAGAGGAACAACAGTCCTAAAAGTCCTTTCAGTCCTAACTAATAGACAGCCTCAAAGCACACAGAGCCTGTGACTCTACAGATGTGCAACATCCCTAAAGAAGGAGAAAAAGGACAGGAGGGGCTCAAAAAGCCAGAGGCAACTTTCACATCCAAATTTACCATTTCCTTGCTTTTGGGGTCCTTCCACGTGTTGGAAGGGCAGCAGGGAAAGGGACTCCTTGCTCTCAGTTCAAAGCATTTGAGCCACACCAAGGCTGCTTAAGTACAAACCCAGAACTGGAGTCCTAAGTCACCCTTGCTTGGTCCCAGCTCAGCTCAATTTGAGTGTGTCCAGTTTTCTGGGATTCAACTGAACAGCTCCAGTCCATACGTGTACAAGTTTCTGTTTTTCTCAGGGTACTGCCCGGCCACCTCTGATGGGCATTCAGAGTTGAGGTAAAAGAAAGAAACTTGGGCTACTCAGCTCCTCCACTAAAAGCAAAGCCTCCAGAAGAAAAGTTGAGCTATTTGTGTAGCACAGTCCAGCTTTTTTAACACCAGCCATGACTTACCAACTCTACAGAACTGCTTCAACACAAACTTTTCAGTGATTGTCAGTCCATGACAGAGATTGGAGAGGAAAACAGTTTGGCTCAAGACATTTTAAAGCTTTTAGAGGGAGCATCAAACACCTCAAGGCACCTCTGAGGGGTGAGAAAATGCACACACCAGAACAGTGAGAGTCAGGGCAAGACTTTTTCTGAAGCCCCAATGATGTAATCTCTCCCATCTGGAAAGGTTTATTAGATTAAAGGCAGGAATTAAGCGCAGAGCTCTTAATTAATGCCAGAGAGCTGTGATGTTGTGCTTGGAATAGCTGGGGAATTTCCCTGGGCTCCGTGAACCCCACACAAGTGTGGGTCAGGAGAAGCAGACATTCCAGCAGGAAGGGTCATGGCAGCTCACCTGCCAGGAGGGCTGCTCCAGCTCCAGCCCTAGCCCCAGCCAGAAGGGGAAGCAGGACTGGGTGAGACTCCAGCCTCACTCAGCTGTGTCACAGAGCAGCAATCTCCTCCCTGCAGCCTGAGCAGAGCCCTGCCACACACCAGGGGCTGCTCACTGCTGAATCAGCCAGCAGGACACCCCCAGCCCAGCTCTGACCAGGGAACACTCCCTGCAAAGGACAAGAATGGCCCCAGGAGGAGGAACTGAGCAGGCAGTGAGTGACTGAAGGGACAAGGGGCTGCAAATCCAGGCAGGCATACAGTGCTGAGAGCTGCCAGTGCAACATGGAGATTCTGACTGCTGCAAGGCAACAAAACCTTGCTCTGTCACACCCACATGCTTCTACTCTGTGGCCCATCACCAGTCTCAAATATACCCCAGGCACTAAATTCACATTGTAGCTGAGTTAAGCTACAGTTGTTAGCTAGAAGTATCTTTCAGCCATTGTTCAATTAAGCAGCAGTAAAAGTTGCCATAAAAACCCAGCTGTGCCATTTCAAGAATGCTTCCCAGGCCATACTGCATCCAAGACCACCAACCCTTCCTGCAGTCAGAGACCAGCAGCACATCTCTGCTTTCAGCTCTGCTGCAGGCTCAGTGTCACAGCCACTCCTCTCCCCTGCTCTGGCTCAGCTCCCAGCCCCGAGTTAAACTGAGTTAAAGGCAGTGCTCTGCATCCTGCTGCAGCACTGCTCTGAGCCCCAGAGAACAACCCAAACCACCATAATCCAAATGAATTCCAAACAGATCTGCAGACTTGCTCCTTGCTGACACAGGACTGGCAGAGGGAGACCTGGCTTGTCTTACAGCTTTGCTCCCAACCATGGGAAAGCTGCAGCCACGGGACCCAGGTGCAGATATTCCTGGCATGCAGCTTAGTTATTCCTACTCACAAAAGAGGGATGCAGTGCTGCAGTGAACCCAGCCATCTGCTTGGGTTATCATCTGTCTGCAATGAAACCTTACCTGCTTCAGCTCTGAGTAACAACCAGCCTCACAGCATCACCTGAGCCTTTCTCCTCGCCAGACTCAAGTCCTGAAGTCAAGATCTAACCAACAGTCACAAAACACAGAAAATCCAGGTAGGAATGCTCCTGAGGTCTGTCTGGCTCTGCTCTATGTGTGCAGAATCCTTTCTCTCACTTTCAGCAAGCCAGCCCTTATTTACTTTATTTCCCTGCTCAGGAGGTAGCATCAGGGCAGCTCCTCTTTTTTGAAGAAAAGAAGAACCAAAAAATGCAGTTGGTCCAATTCCCAGCTGTTCCTGTAACTCCAGAGCCTGGAGTAACTACAAGCACACTGCTCCTGCCTCCCCAAATGGTGCCTCCCTCAGCAACTCCAAATCAGAGGCTCACCTGACTCCTTCCTGCTACTGCCTTCTGTCAGCCTGACACTCCACAGCACCCCCACGGCTGCCATCCTCCACTGCCTGCTCATAAAGAAGGCAACAAAAGGCAAAAAAAGGGCCAGCTCACTCTGCTCCAGCCCCTGCCACAGCTAGGCCTTGAAGAGGACAGGCTGCAAAGGATGCACGGTGGAAGGAACACTGTGAACCAGCACCCTGCCCCAGATCCTCAGTGCTGGGAGGCAACTCAAGCTGTGCTGCTGCTCACCAGGATCTCTGTAATGGGTTAGCTGCACCACCTAATTAGTGGCTTGTCTTCATTTTCTTCTGCCTCCACTCAGAGTCAGGATGAAAACCACGAAGGAGATGAATTTTCTCATTCGGACTTGGTTTTATTAAAACTCATCTAAAGTACAGAGAGTTCTGCAACACTTCTAGCTACCAGCTAAAAGTGAGCAAAATGGAGGTGAACGTAGCTAGTTACAAGACAAAGCTAAACAGTCCAATAAAGAACTAACACCTATATTATTTATACTTTTGACCCAATAACCAAACTCCTGTGACCCACAGTTCAGCACTAACTGTCCAACCAAAAACCATGAAGAAGGAAAAAGACAAAGAGACAACCTAAGAACATCTGTCTTGTCCCATACCTATTACTATATTCTAAAACCCCAAATTCAAAACCCTTCACCATGTGAAATCACACACTTTTGTTTTAACTACACACCTGTAATTTTAACTCTGTTACTCAAATTTGGAAGGCCTCAAGTCAAAAGCAGTGTTCTCCTGGGGGTCAGTGCCAGAAAGCTCAAAACTCCCAGGTTTCAGGGTTCCAAGAGATCTTCACTTCAGAGGTACCATGCAGCCCTGCTCCCAGCAAACATCCATGAGGGAGCTGTGCAGAGGAAGCTCAGCCATCCATCATCCATCCACCCATCCATCCCTCCCTGCAGTGAGGTCAGTGCCAGCTCTGTCTCCACATGTCCCGAGGGAGAAGCTGTGCAAAGCCCATCATCCATCCCTCCCATCCCTCCCTACCTGCAGTGAGAAGGTCAGTGCCAGCTCTGTCTCCACGTGTCCACTCGGGGGCAACACGATCTCATGGGAGCGCAGGATGCGCTTGGAGCCCTGCAGGAAACAAAGTCCAGCACCCCATGAATTCTCCACCTCTCACATCCCATCCCAGCCCGGCTCACTGCACACCAGGAAACGTTGTCAGGGACTACCAGGGAAAAGTGAACGGATGGCTCTGACCTTGTACTTCTGTGAAATATTAATGAGATGAAAGGGAGATATTTGACTAATAAAGATTTGGGCATGTTTGCTGTCCCTAACGGCAACAATGCAGCTTTTGTTCTGCCAAACCCCAGCCTTGAAAGGCTCCGAGTCAACCCCCAAGCCCTGGAGTTGAAGTCTCCTATTTTCACTTCAGCCAATAGGTACAAGGCTCTTCATCTCCTGGGTCTGGAGGCTGCAGCATCATGCTTACATCTCCAGCCTTAGCCACGACAGACTGGGCTTTTCTTTTTGTGCACACACCCCTCCCTAGGGAAAATGAGGACTTTAACCTGTTCAAACAATTGCCAGTAGCTGGGGATATTAAATAAAAAAATCAGAGCATCTCAGTCGAGTCTGGAGATTTGATGTATCACAGGGCAACTCCAAATCAACCCTGTGTGTGGGCTGCCTTATGCTAACAGAGTTACCAGGCTATTTACTGTGCGAGCATTTCATTCCAGAGAATGTTTGAGGGAAAACTAGCAGGGAAACACGACAGACTGCTGCCTAGCAAACCCTTCTGCCTTGTTCAAACACAGAGGCAAGTTTCAGAGAGCTCTGGCTCCATGTTCTGCTGAGGCTGCAGATCTGGCTTTGTCCAGATGGGCTGATCTCCCAGAAGCACAGAACTGGAGCTCTGGAAAAAGCAGCATCTGGGAAATCAGAGACAGACTGGGAGGGGTGAACACCTCCAAGGAGAAATGTGCTCTGCCCCTATCAGCCTCAAAGAGCATCACGAGATGACACGGCAGCAGAGCCTGGTTTACATCCCCTCCTCCCAAACACAGCCTCAGCTCCTCTCTGCAAACACCGAGCTCCAGCAGATCAGACAGCAGAGCAGAGCAGAGCCAGGCACCCAAGGGCTGCCCCCAGCACAAGCAGCACACGTGCAAGTGAAGCACAGCCAGCCTGGCCCCTGGCAGCAGCAGCAGCTGCTCCATTTGTGCAAAGCTCCCAACAGCAGCAATCTTGCTTTGCTGGTTACGCAACCAAAACCTAATGAAACACCAAATATAGTTGCTTTTAAAAGGCCACAGCAGACAAACAGAGCAACGGCTGGGGAAATGCAGCTGACAGCTCTTTGAACATCCCTGCTCTGCAGGCTGCAGGGAGATGTGGGAAATGCAGGTGAGATGCTCTCATTAGGTCTGAATGCAATCATCTCCTCTGGAAGGGCTCTGACAACTCTCATGCAATTCCCCCACACAAAGCAGTCATTTGACAGAGATCATGGATTTGATGATCCAGTACCACCAGCCTCCAACAACAGCCACGTCACAAACCTGAGTGCTGGCCAATAAAGCATCCCTGAAAAAGCCTGTCAGCATCAGCACCATAACCTGCAAGCTCTAAAGGGATTTTTAATAGTGTGGAGAGGACTGCTCAGGTTCCAGTGTCTGAACACTGCAGCAGTGCACATCACAACACACACAAAATGGGATGTGAAACCCCCACGTGTTAAAATTCCCTGTGGATTTGTGGGCCTGGGGCAAGCTTTCACCTATAGAAAGTGTCAGCAGCAGTAATCTGGACAGGAAAAGAAGGTTTTGCCCTAATAAAAGCTCCTGAATTCTTCAACCCAAGTCTGGCACTCTCTGGGCATAGACCATTTGCTGACAAGCCTCAGGTGCTTACAGTGATGCATTCATCATCCAGGAGCACAAACATATGGAAAGCTTTCAGCCTTGATGAGCAGTATCTGACAGCCTGGAAACCCACAGCACTGCTGCTTCTGAGGCTCTCACAAATCCACGTGTGTGAAGCAGCTCCTGGCCTTTCTGCTCTCTGCTGTGGGTGCACAAACCCCCTCCACCTTAGAGAGACACATTTTTACCCCAGCTGGACAGCTCGGAGGTGAGAGGCACCAAATAAATCCTCAGCTATGTATTCTTCCTTCCTGATTTCACGTTCCAAACTAGTCCTGGTGTGTTTTGACACAACCAGCTCTCTGCAGGGGTTTGCCTAGCTCTTCATTGGAAAAGCAGAAGCTTTTCAGCAGTGTCTTGGCTTGCAATGCAGGATGTGCCCAGCAGTGTGTGTTCTATCCCATCTGTTAATCCAGCTGGGGCAGTGTTCTTTATCTTTCCCACAGCCCATCCTCCCTCCAGGAGATATCTCCTGTTAATGGCCATGGAGTCCCAGGGCATGGCTGATAAAATTCCATCATCCCATTGGGAGATGCTCCACCCAGGGGGAGGAGCCAAGCCTTTCCTACCCAGATCAAAGCTGAGATTTGGAACATCAGAGCAGCCGTTTCCCACTGCATTCCAGAGGAAAACCAGACCCTTCCACATCATCCCTGGAGCTTTGGAGGAAAACTGCACCTTCTCCAGGAGCACTGCTCCAGCAGAACCACATCTGTCACTGCAGGAGGATGCAGCCACCATGGAATGGGACTGCACCAACCCCTGACTGACTGACGGGGGTCAGCTTGGATTCTGACTCTGGCAGTGGTTTGGGTTTGTTCTCTGTAATACTGCATTTCTATTTTAATTTTCCTAGTAAAGAACTGTTATTCCTATTCCCATGTCTTTGCCTGAGAGCTCCTTAATTTTAAAATTATAATAATTTGGAGGGAGGGGGTTTACATTCTCCATTTCAAGAGAGGCTCTTGCCTTTCTTAACAAACACCTGTCTTTCAAACCAAGTCACACAATTAATGTTCTGCTTATAGGTCTGCTAGGCTTTTCCTTGTTAAGCACTTCAGAGCTTGCAGTGATGGGAGCACGTGAGCAAGCAGAGTGACCTACATGGAGGCACCTAATTAAATGGCACAAACATCTGCTGTGAAGTGGGTTATTTACCTAGGATGACAACTGTATTTTAGGAAAAGCAATTAGTCTGTACAGGCACCCTACAAATCTTGGCAACAGACTTGACAGCAGAGCTGCCCATCAGCAGATGAAGGCCCAGATTCCCCAAACCAAGACCCAGTTACCAAGATGTTCAGCCCCAGAGTGTTAAATAGAGAAGCAGGCTTGGATTTAGTGCCAGCTCAGGAAGAAAAGGTGACATGTGATCTGTGAAGAGCATTTTTACATGCAGAGAAGCTCATGCTGAGCCATGGGAGAACAATATTCTTCATTTACAACAGTGAAATGAGGTGGGAACGTGGGAGAAGAATCAGAAGAGAGTCTACACAGATCCAGAACACCCTGATGGGCTTGGGAAGAAGTCTGTGGATGCAATGGACCCTGATGTGGAGGTAAAGCTCAGTTTGGTGGGCACCTGCCAGTATTTTGAGTCAAACAACACAATTCTTAGAACTGAGCAGCAATTACCTGCATTTTGACAGCAATGACCCCAGAAATAAGCTCCTTATCCAATTCCTTTAAGACTACCAGTTTCTTTAATGTCAAGCTGCACAACCTGCAAACAGGAACAGAAGAGAAACAGTTACAATCATGCCTGGAAAAGGAAAAAGCTCTGATCAGCTTTTACACACAGCAGTGTCCCAGTTTGAGGGGGGACAGGCTCCAGACACAAGCCACACACTGACACAGACAAAGACAGCAGGAATATAGGAGGCTTCCCTGGCTTCTCAAGACTGAATTTCTCCAACTTTTCATGAACACGAGGTGGACAGGAGGTACATCAGTCTCTGACACAGGCCACAGAGAGCACTCCACTGACCACAGCCTGGGAACCCTTGCTTCCAGTCAGACCAAGAGCTGCAGGGTCAGAGGAATTAAATTCCAGCAATATGAAAGCACAGGGTCAATCTAATTTTAAACTTGTCTGCAAGGCTTTCCTAGATTGTTGGCTTTTTTCAGTTTCAGCCTTCTGGCTCCCAAAGATCTCGCTCCCACCTCCTCTTGCCAACCCACACATTCTTCTGCTCACCCCCAAACAAAAGTGCTAGCAAGTGGCTCAGGCTCTCTGATGGAAAGGGCTGGAAGGGGGGAACAAAAGGAAAAGAGAAAGGAGAGGACTCAAGTGGTGCCCTCTGGCCCTGGTGTTCACATGCCACACATATGCAAGTAAATGACATTTTTCACCCAGGCAATGCCACATTGTTCTGGTTAAAGCTGTCAGGGAGATGAAATTCAGCCTCTGCAGCCGAGTTCAGGCTCTGGGTAAGGGGACCACGGCATTGGCACTGTCACAGTTTCACAGATAACTGGGGGGATTCAGAAGGCATACCCATAAACAAACTTCAGGCAAAGATAAACCTGAAACCCGGACAGCTCAGTTTGAGGATGGAAGGATAGCAGAGAAAGTTGCTGGGCAGGCTGTAGTGACTAGACATCATCTGTCACACTGGCCAGGAGCCAGCAGTGCCTTTGTGTCAGTCCTTACTCCATGGCATGGGCATCTCTGGCCTCTGGCATGGAATGCTCTTCTCAAACCCATGCCGAGCTCTTTTCCCAGATCAAATGTAACACCAGGGCTGCTCATGGAGGGGTGAAGGCCAGCAGGAGATGGGGATCAAAGAGGAGCTGATGCTGGATTTTGGCACAAGTGCCACTGACTGAAGCCTGCAGTTGAACTACAGCACTTGACACTGGTGCCAGGTGCCTGACAATGCAGCACTGCAAGGGTGACTGGCAGCTCCATCACCTTTTCCACTGCTTTGCTGCAGTGCCTGAGGGTAAACAGGATCAACCTGGGTGCAAAACAGCAGGAGAGGTGCACCTGAAGGAGTGGGGGCAGACATTGAAGCAAGCACTGCTGGTCTCATCCTGAAACACTCGTGGCTCTGCCTGAGCTCTGCTTTCTCACACAGGGTCAGCAAGAAGGAAGAGCCAGTGCTGTGCTCTGCACCCCAGCACCTCCCCAAACATCTCCTTGCAGCCTCTTCTCCACCCCAGCCCACGCCATCTGTTCTCATATGCAAGGCTCTGGTTCCTGCTAAAACCCCCCAAAAACCAAGAGAGAACTACAAGCTCTCTCTTTTGCATCGTGACACAGCAGAGCCTGAGATGCTGCAGAAATTACGAAGAAGGTGGAACAACCAGGGCTGCCTGCACCCTGTCCCCTCCTGTCCCCTGGCAGGCAGGTGAAGCTGCATCTCCCAGCCTGGAGCACAGCACAGGGTGCTGATTTTTGCCCTGCACCCCAAATAAAACAGCAGGCACAGACAGACAGACAGACAGACGTGGCTGGGGCTGTGAAGCAGCAGGGCCAGGGGCTGGAGGAAGGCTGGGAAGCCCTTTGCTTTCTTTGTCATGCTGTAGCTGCAGGACAATTGTGCCCAGCTTGCCAAAAACCAGTCAGGTGCTGGGAGCAGAGGTAGGACAACACACTGGCATTGTCTCAGCTGGCAGGCAAGGAACAAAGGGCTTTTCTGTCCAGCCCCGAGCTGGAGGATGGAAAAGGTACGGGAAGAAACAATGGTGTTCTCAGCACACAGAGCCGAGCACAAGGAGGGCGTTCTGTTCTCCGCCGGGCATTCCTTCAATTCATCATTTATGAGCTTTGATCAAACCCTGTGGGGCACTTGCTGCTTGGGGGGGAAAAAAAAAAATAATAAAATTAAAAGCCTCCTTTACAGCGATCAGAAAAACAAAAGCAGTTTAAAAAGACATGGGACACATCTGCTTTCTTTATCCCCCATTGCTGGGCTGCTGGTACTAAAAGGCACTTCACACAAAAAACAATGGAATGTTTATCCTCCCCATCGGCGGGGGGCAGGGTGTGTGGGGGATGGATAAAAATCACTTTAAATCCCATCAAATCACTCTTACTCTCAACATGCTATCGCAGTCGAAGTTGGCAGCTTACAAATCAAAGCAATATTCAGAACATGTGGCAGAAAGGGGCCATACCTCACGCAAATCATGATGAAAAAACACATCCCAAGTGTGTCCCTGCCACCAGCACAAGGATCCTGAACCACTCAGGCACTGGTAGAGCAAGGATTTGTGTGCCATAACTGCCTCTGATAACAGTGCACTTATCTTCTGCCAAGGTTTTACTGTACTTCCATCAAGTCTCAGGGGTCAGAAGAGGGATCAGGCTCACTTCTATCAACAAACCTGTTAGCTTAAACACTGGTAAATAAAACAGACATGGGTGGAGCTGGAAATACGTGGAAAAAGAACAAGGCTGCATTTGGAAGTGTCTAATAAATATAGATACAATCTCTGAACACAGAGAAAATAACCTAGCACACACAAGGAGAACCAAGGAAGCCTCAGGTGTGGAGCTGAAAGAGCCTGAAATATTTTTGAAAGCCTGGGACTGCAGCTCAGGAGGTGCAGAGAAATCCTGTCTGCATGTTTCAGCAGTGACCTACAGCTGTACGAGGGGAGTTCAGTCAGCAAAAGCACTAAGTTAGTGAAGTAGACTTAAATAAGGACAGTGGAAATCTGAGAGCCAGTATTTCCAGCCTTTATTGAAGGTTCAGAGTTGGTGTCCCTGCCAGGAGCTCAGCTGGGTCCCAAAGAGCAGCAGGAGCCTCTGTCCCCTCTGGTGACTCATGTGTCCCCACAGCCAGCAGGTAAAAGGTACTTGCCTGGTCCTGGTTTTGGGTTAACAAATTATGAGACAGCTTAATGCCACAACGAAACTCCATCTTTTTACATCACTGCTAGAAAAGAGTTTTAAAGAGAAACCTCAGCCTGACCCAATGGTTTCAATTTGCTTTCCTAATGCAATTTGTGCTGAGCAGCTTCATCACAAGCCCTTTGCTTCAGGAGGCAGCTCTCTGCAAAGAACATAACATTTTGGGAACTGAGATGCAGCAAAGTGTCCACAACAACCAAATAAAGCGTGGCATTCTTCACTCACTGGATGTTTTGCTTTTGCATCCCTCTGAGTAGGAAGATCAGGAAAATAAACCCCTCCAAGAAAAAGTCTGCCCTGCTGAATTAAATGTCTGTTTCTCCACAGGGAGCACAGTAATTGCACCGAGACCTCGTTCACGCAGAGACAGTCGAATCAACAGGAAGGAAAAATTAAAAATTAAAGACCTGCATTTTAATTAAACCCCACCGAAGTAGAGAATAATAACAGGATGCATCCACAGCTATAGGGGAGTCCAAGTACAAGATGGGAGCAGGAAGACTGTAGGACACAGATAGCCTTTGTCCAGGTTCAGAGCTGTGAAGAACTGTTCCTAGACAAAGTGTTTCACTTTCCTCGGAGGTCTGAAAACCTCAATCAGCCTATGGCTGCAAGGAAGGAATTGGTTTCCCTTTGGCCACTGGACAGTTTCACCTCATCCAAGTTATTTCAGCATTTCAGGACAGCAAGCAGCCTCCTGAGCTGACACTTTACACCCTCATCGATCCCAAAATACATTACCAGCCACTCGGAGGAGACTTGAAGGGAGACACCCACCACCTACACACACACCTTGCCTAGACAAACAGAGCCATTCTGCACATGTGTCTGTGCAGGAGAGGCCACAGCCAGGAGCCTTGAACAGCATTTTGGGGAGATGGCTGCTCCAGGAAGGTATGAATGCCTGCAGCACACTGAGCTGCCTGCACCAGGAAGAAAAGAACAGCACTTGTTGCTGCACTTACATGCCAAGGACAGGGCTCTGTACTGGCCCAGGAGCTAGCTGGGGAGAAAGCAGGGCAGAAGTATTGTCCTCTGATGTCACTGACACATCAGATTTGGGCTCTGGTCAAGGGCAGCAGTAGCAGCCTCGGGAAGATGCTTCCTCACTTTCCAAAGCTTAATGAGACAACTCCCTAAACGTGACCTAATCTAGGTCACCTTATCAGGAAAGCTCACAGGCAAGGTGAAATCAAAAGGAGACAGAGGTCAGGCACCCAGTTTCTACCATGACAGAAACATAACCTGAGCAACCTGCAAAGAAACCTAATAGTCCTTCATTCACATTTCCCACTAAGCTGACCTTTAATCAGCTGTTCTGGCTATAAATCCATTTGAGTAAGGTTTAAGCAGCCAGGAAACAATTGCAGAGCCAGTATTTTCATTGTTCTTGTTCTCAAGGATCTTGAAATCCTTGTCCCAGCATTCACACAGAGAATTAAGCTCTTAAGATTTTGGAGACTAAGAGCTATAGAAATACAACAGAAAAGCTGGAGCAAGCAGGTCTTGTTCAGCCAGATAGGAGGATGGCAGCTTATTTCACACAACAGGTTCTACCCAGGACCTCACAAGGACACACGTGTACAGACAGACACTATCCCTTTATAGCTGAAATGCTGTCCTGCCCACTTCAAATAAATTACAGATAGGCCTACTCCAAACTGAGCAAACAAAAAGGGAGTGGGTATGTTAAAATCTTGCAGATCTGCGTAATTTTTACAAGATCCAAAACTCCACACGGGCACATTTGCTACTTGAAGTTAATACTACTTTTTAAGTATTAAAGTACAGCTGAGCTTAGGTTCCCTAATCCAACATATCAACTGGAAAATGCTGAGAGATGTCTTCCTTCAGTAGGTCAA